GACATGGGCTGGGATCGTTACTTCTCCCTTGTTCACAAGGGGCACCTTTGCTGTCAGTGTGCACGGGGAGACCCATGAGCTGCATGCAGAGGCTCTGCTTAGCCCTCCTGGTGGCTGAAGCTCGCTTTTCCCTGTTGTGGGAGCGCGCACGTCATTCACGTGTGTAAAGGAAGAGCAAAACCCGTCTCTGCGTGGGGCGGGCGGCGGGACGGTGCCCTACAGGGACTGTGCGGTGGGAGGTGCCCCRTGGTGCCCCGTGGTGCCCCGTGGTGCCCCAGGGGCTGTGCCGCAGGCCGGGGCTGCCGGCCGGGCCGGGCTCCCTCGCCGCACGCGTGGGCGCAGCGCGTGCCCGTCCCCACAGCACCGCGAGGCTCCCGCGTGTTGGCTGCGCTGCCCCGCGGGAGCCGCCCGCTGAGCAACGGGGCGGCTGAGGGCGGGCGTCAGCTCGGAGCGAAAAAAGACTTTTATCAAAGACAAAATCATACTGAAAAGTTAAAATAAAACACCCAGGGCCGGGCTGGGACAGCGCCAGCCTCTGAGCACTGCGCAGTCCGGTCCTCACTGCTGCTCCTGGAGGAACACCGACTTAGCTCTCCCCTTGCCAGTGCGAAGGTAATGCTGYGGAAGGGGAGAAGCTGAAAAGTAAAAGAAAAAAATGTGGAAAAAAACTCAGTATTTACTTTGCTAGAAAGTATTTCAAGACACGTGAACCAACCTTGGTTGAACCAACCTGAGTGGGGAATCGGTGTTGCAATGATTCGATGGGGTAAAAACGAGCCCATGATGGACCTGGGCACGTACGGAGGGGCTGCCAGGAAGGCTGTGGTGAAGCCGAGCTCCGAACGCAGAATCCCTGGAATTCTATGGGGCTTTGCTGGGGCAGCGTGTGGGACGGCGGCTGGACAAGCTGTGCGCGATCCCGACGCACCAGCCTGTGCCTGCGGGCTGCTCGCTCGGCCGCGTGTTTCACACGAGGTTTTGTTTTCGGGACCATGRCCCCGGTGCCTGCAGAGACGCGTTCTTACCCGCTGCGAGGTAGCGGAGCCCCGGTAGGGCCAGTGCTCCCCGCACTTGCAAACGTGCCAGGCCGCCAGTTCTGCGCAAAGGCGAGAAACGGAACCGAGGCGCAGCGGCGGAGGGAGCCCAGAGCTAAACCCGCCTCCAGAGGAACAGGCCACCGAGGAGAGAAAGGTCAATTCACCAGTCAATAACACAGATTTATGCATCTCAGGTGAGACTTGGGCAGAACGCAAACGTCAAAAAAATGTATCCTAAAATAACAGTTCAGTAACCCAAAAAAAATGTATCTGAAAATAACAGTTCAGTAACCATCCTTTCAGGAGAGATCTTTCTTTTGTTGCAGAAATAATTGCTTTTTTTTTCTTTTTTTTTTTTAAGTAAAGAGCTGTAAGCTTGATTTTAGAAATCCCATTTTTACAACATGTAAAGGAAAAAAATATTAACAAGGCCTGTACTACACAGAATTGCTCTTTTTTTGTCAGACAAAAAAAATGTTTCTCAATGAATTAGAATCGCATAACACACCTCCATCCAAAAAATTTAACACCCATAAAAATAGATAAACAAATTGGCTATTGCTTTCTTACTAGTTTGATAATAGTTTAGTATGTTATTTGATCTTTCTCATTCCTTGCCAAATATCTTTTTGCTTTTTTTTTTCATGAAAGTTCAATACTTACAGGATTACAACTTTTGGGTTTTTGTTTTTTCATCTAGAATTCTCAGCATTTCCAGATATTTCTTTATTGTCCCAAATCAAGCCATTTTTAACTTTATATTTTGTATTCCAGTAAAGTTTCTACTAATATTAGTTATAACCTTAATATTTAATATTTCTGCACTTGCTCCTGATAATTGGCGTTATGTGAGCCTTTTTTCATTTGTCTAAGGCAGAGACTCAGCTATCTCAGTACTCTAGTGTAGGTGAATTTCTTAGTTCAGTAAGTTCTTAGTACTTGTAGCTTTACAATGACTATATACTTAAAGCCAGACTTATTTTCAAGAGTGCTCGGTGTCCAGCCTTTCCTCAGGTACACACAGGTTTCTTCTGAAAGGCAAACACTGCCCATGTCGGAGTGTATGTATGTGCCCCATTAACAGAGCTTTTCTTTTGTGGAGATTTAAAACACCAGAAAGTAAATCTAGGTATCATATATATTAAGTGTGTATATATGTATCTATCTTGGCAGGCATATACTGTTCATTAGATTTAGGTATTTYGTTTTCACCATCCAAACTTAAACTAAGTGCAAAATTTCATGTCCTCATACGTATTTTTSTAAAAAGCATCGCTTTCCTATTCTCCTCAATAAACCAGGTGCTGAAGCACTCATAGTTTCACAGCTCTAAGCAGCACATACTTTTTTCTTTCTTTCTTTTTCTTTCCTTCCCCCACTTTCACATATGGTAAACCTTTTATTTAAAATCAAATTTAWTGCACTTTATCCCAAACCTTCTTTTCACCACTGCTGTCATTGGCCACTTGTCTGAGAATATGCACAACCTTGAACAATTTCTTGTAGCATCGTAATTCCTGTACTTTTCAGTCATGCCGGGTCTCCAAGTATTCTGCACTGAARACACACATATGTAAGAAACTGTTTTGGACTGTGTTTGTCYCGACATTKTTGCCATCCTATCTCTGGGAAGACCAGGCTACCAGCTCGAGCTGTGTTATCCCTACCCAATTTCCTGGGAAGAGCAGCTCAAGACCCCAGCAATGGTCGGCAGAGCCTGCGGAGCAGCGCTGGCCCTCGAGCCGGAGGGAAGAGCAGCACCAAAGCAGGAAACTTCCATCAACCGGGCGGGCTCTTCAAGAACTGGGAGAGTGAAGGGCTACGGATTCCTCCCTCGCGGAGAGGAGCTGCTGCAGCTCCTCAGCTCTCTGCCACGAGACCTTCACCTGCAGCGGGACGGAGCCAACAAAAGGCAGCTGGTGCTGGGAGCTGATCTTGCTGCATCCCTCCTGCTTGCTTGCTTATCTGCCTTCTTTTGTTTTTCTTTTCTCTCTGTCCTATTGCCATTATGACAAGAGATGTTCTAAGGCTTTTATGGCATTTGACCTCAGTTGTGTCTTAATCATGCTCTTGGGATCATATCGAAACCTGCCCTGACAGTGGATCAGGAGAGCATATTAGCAAATATTGGTTACAATACCACAGTATGGCTGTTTCAGTAGACATTGCTTTTTTTTTTTTTTTTTCTCTTCCATATACAATTGTGCACTTCTCATTTCAGAAAGCTTCTTCAGGGGTGAGCACCTGCCTTTTCCCATCAATCTTGCTTTTCTGCTCTTGGTCCCAGAGCTCCATCCTCGAGGTGCCTGGGATCACACAGGACTGAAGAGCYCCCTTCTTTATACAAAGCAACAGCATTTATTCATGTTTCCTAAAGAAGGAACATCTCTTTTCCCAAACATTACAAAACAGCTGAAGTTCCTCAGCTCAAAGGCAACTAGAAGAAACTTGATTTCCGCATATCTTGGTACAGTTATGTTCATCAGGATGAACAGCAAAAACTATTTTGGTTATGGGAGCTTATATTCAGTACTATAAATAGACAATAATTTGCATTTCTCCTGGCTTCCTGAAAATTCATTCCTCCTCTGGCTTTTCCAAAGCTGTTGCGAGGTTCTGTCATATATTTATAAATTAATCTTGAGGCTTAGCATATTCACACTGATAGACAACAAACCATGATAATATTTGACAATACTTGTTTGCAGACATTCTATAAGAAACACTGTAGACTTAGAGAAAAAGTCTTTCATTTAAAATATTTTATTCTACACTATAGAAGTCATGTAGGCATAAAATAACACTTTCCCACAACAATCATAACATTTTGGTTAGCATATCAATTACACTGAAGTATGAAAAACGGAATGCCAACTTAAGAAAGATGTAAAAGCAAATAATTCTTGATACAAAGACTGTATAATGTAAAAAATATGGCATCATACAGTGGATATCTCAGTGTACACGAGAGGTTTTGCAAAGCATTTAAAAGCATTTTTTTAAAGGTTACTGCATTTTTGCAGTAGCCCATTGAACTAAGCTACTGCATTTTTATCCCCCTTAAAATTCATTAGCTTTTTGAGAAATCCATGATTCTGTCTGCTTTAGGACTTAAATTTTTACAGTGCAGAGTGTCACATATCCCCAGAGTCCTAAGCATTACATGGTCCTACTCACCCAGCTGGGAACACCCAACCTGAGTGAAGAATTCTTTGTACACACAGACTTGTTGTAAGAGGCTCTATGTTCCTGGCCAACATCACAAAATTATACCATGGTGTAAAGTTATGGCTTTCTCTGAAATTACGATATATTAAAAGAAAAAAAAAATCTCACAGAACACTTACAAATTTTCATTTGCTTTTYGAGTTCAAAACTATAATTATGCAATCATATAGACTATGGAATCAGTCATACTGTAGTAGAAGAAGCAAAAGACCTTTTATTCACTTGAAAAAATAGCAGACTGGAAGATCTCTTCATTGCATTACACAAACTTCCCTGAGATTTTTACATAAATTATGTTTGAGTCTATTATATATTGGAAACCAGTTTGCTACTGAGTGTCATACACAGCAAATTTTACACAGTTCCTGCATATGTTTTCCCAGCTAAAATGCTGTTTAATGCTTTAAAGCTATATTTTCTTTTGTTACAAAAAATACATACACACAGTTGAGACTACAAATGCAAAAATGTTTCTTGCACAAAATTTTAAATCATCTTCAAAGCAATGTATAGAAATAGATAAAACAGATGTTAAATTGAACAAAGCACTTTGAAGTTCTTTGCAGCTTAAAAATTGATTTTGAAATTACTTTAAAAAATTACCTATACAAGTATTTGGTGACAAGAAAACCAAAACATTGTACTGAATGCAATGGCCAGAAAGGGAGCTGATGCTGCCCACCCTACTTGGCAATCCCCCATATTTTAAATTATGCTTTTGTATGAATAACTGTCAGAGAGAAACACCATAAGTGGTACAAAACATTGCTATACTGGCACTATTGTTATCCTGGGTAAGCAATTTTATTTTTATAACTGAGGTAATGAAAATTCAGGTAACATGAGTGAAATTACTTCACTGTGGGTGAAAAAAAATCTAATTTTAATACAAATCTAGATGTCAAGAGTCTTTTTTTCCAAGTTGTGCAGCCCCTTAATAGAACTTCCTCACAGTAAAAATTCAAGAAGAACAAGCACTGCACTTCACAAGCAATCATTTTAAGAACAGGTAAAAATCAGATAATTTGAACTAGAAAAAAAACCTTCAAACTTTGATTTACTGCTTTGAGATATGAATGATTAATTCTCCATTTTTATGCTTGAGAGCAAACCCAAACGGTTGGCTTCTTCATGAATTCTCACTAGACTTATTTCAAAAGGCGGAATTATATGCTGCAAGTAATTTATTTACATAGCTTTAACCTCCTTCAAGTTCCCTGTATCTGGGATCGTGTCCTTGTCCCCAGCTCAGTGTGGAGCAATTGCACTTTTATTTCTTCTTTCCAAATAATCTTACTCTTGAGTTTTACCACAGAAAGCAACAGGTTATATTTGTGGGTTCCTTCAATAAAAAACAGCTTTGGCATGGTTGGGACTGGCACTCTGTCCAGGCTGAAGGAAGAGATAAGGTGATCACCTTAGCAGTGAACTGAGGAACTGGGAAATGGGAGGGCATTTTATGTATTTTTAATTCTGTATAAAAAAATTTCAATTTATCACTGCATGAATTTACAAAGATGGGAAGAATACCAGAGCAGCATCTGGAGGATCAACGATATGTTTAACTTTTTCATATTCACAAACTGAAGACAGTGCCTTGAGTAAAATGGCTTCAATGTTACTTGTTATGTTTCTTCAAATATATAAAGAAAACCTAGTATTTGTGCAAGAGGAGATAAAGTTAAAAAATGTGGATTGCATTTTTGCCTTTTCATTTTAGATTAAATTGTCCACATGGATAAATAAGTTTTCTGACTTTCCAAATTAAGAATTTCCCTCAAAATCCTTGCAGTTCAACATCCAGCCCATTATCTTGCATATATTGCTGGCCAATAACTGATTCAGACAGGCACATAAAAAATTTATGAGTTACACAACCACTTCCATTTTGTTATACAGAGAAGCATTTCTGCATYAACAATGAAAAGTTATAAAACTGTATTAACAAACACAAGCCCTTGTGCAACACACAAAACAAGTGCCAAGTCACTATATGTTCAGTGTGACTAGAAGTATATTCAGTGCATCTCCATTTCAACAAGGAAATGCTCTGTCTCTTCATCCAAAAAAAAAGAAACCTCACCATATTTGCTAGCCACCTCTTTTCGTATTGCCAAGTAAGGCAAAGAATGGTGTTGCTTACTGACTATATATTATATTATTTTACTTAGAAAAATATTTTTTCTCCCTATTGAGGATTTCAGCAACTTTTCTCATAGTACAAATATATCCTGATAAAGAAAACCAGCAGGATTCCTCRGTTTGCAGGTTCGGCTAGGATATTTGCCTCCCAGATTTTACTCCTGGCAAAGATGTGTGCAAAGATGTATGCTCCCAGCACATGTGTGTACATTTGTCAATTATACACAGCAAATACGTTTTGTTTTGCATTCCAACGTGTCCTCTGCATGACAGAGTCTTCTCATCCACCCATGTTGTCCCTTATGTGATCCACTCGCTGAGCAAGATCCCTAAAGGTGGGCCGCTGGGTAACGTTATTGTTCCAGCACTCTTTCATGATGGTATAGATCTGCAGGAGAAAGWACAAACAAAATGGTTAAAAAATAATTCAGTGCTGTAAGTAGTTAAGAACCACTTGGAACTGGTCCAAAGAACATCCAGCTTAGCTTTGTGATTCCAAATAATAGAGGCACAAGCCTATGTTTACTGTAATCCAAAACATCTTCAAATTGCTTTATTTCAACAGCACCAAAAAGTGAGTATAGTTGTTCTGCTCTGTATTATCCTTTATTATAAAAGGAGATGTCTTAGAATGGAAATTGATAGAATTAATTCTGAAACTCTAAGGATTCTGAAACTTCAAGGATTTTGATCATTTTGATAATTTTTACTCTAACAGTCTCTTCAAAAGCTCAAAATGCTTAAAGTGCTTAAAAGCAAGCAATTCTAAGCTAAGTCATTCTAAGCTAACTCATTTTAACAGATTTCTCTACATTTTTACATTAAATTAATATTAAAATAGTTATTAAAAATTAGCCACAAGTTTTGCTGCACAAACTAAACCTACTTCTGGTAAATGTAAATATAAATGATTTTTGCAAGAGATTTCCATAGCAGTAACCAGGCAGGAACTCTTCCCTCTTTCCCCAAACCTGTACACAGTACCTGATCACATAACAGCTGCCAAACTCTTTACCTCTATTTTTCTCACTAATTTAACACAGACCATTACTACTGTCTCTCACTTCCAATGACTTTTCAAATGTTGCCTAAAAAAATCTGCAGAGCTCCCAGGACAAATGCAGCTTTTGGTTCCTTATTTTCTAGCAAATCCTACACTGATCCGAGCCTAAAGCAGCTTGTAAACTACAGATATTTGGAAGATTTAAGGTCCGTGGTGGCTGGCCTTTCTGGATCAAAACAGGAGGAGTGAATTTTCTGACAAAGTTAAAGCATTTCCATCTTGTGTTGGTATCTGGAGCAATGCCAAATATCAAAATCATCACAGTGATTTGGATACAGTTTCAGCAAAAAAATAAAATTAAGAGAAATTCTGTACTGTTCTGCATAGGACATTCACGTAATCTATGATCCTCCAGTTCAAAAAAAGAATTTAGACATACGGTACAAGGAAAATTTCTCTAAATAGCCTTGATTCCATATAGGCTATTTCTTCCCCAGAAGCTTCCCTGCTCCTCCTGTACTGCTCTTTCTCTGCTCTGCTAGGTCACTTCAGCCTGATATGTCTTCTCTTTCCAGTTTTGCAGGAACCCCTTGGGTTATCTTCAAGTGTACCCAGTTTTAAAGGGATGCAGCAGGAGATCTCAGGTGCAAGGTACACATGAAAATGCAGTGATTTTAACTGCATTCCTGCCCTGACAGCTCTCCTATCCAAGCTCCCCGCCAAAGCTTGACTCGACCTAAGCGGCCTCTTGACCTGAACACTAGGATATTATAAAATTTAGGAGGGGTAAGAACGGATATTTTAAAACACCTAGACTATTTGCAAAAGAGAAGAATGCAACATTCATTTGTATGTTCTGAGGATGGCTTTACAYGTATGTACAATTCAGTATCCATGAAAAGCACGTATACAAATCCAGAGGCCTTGAACATACAAAGACTGATGCACAGCCTTAACTTTACATGRATAGGAGTCCGACAGCCTGTAGATAACTCCTTGCTGAGAATGTCAATTGCCAATAAAAAACAAGTTATACATGAATAACACGGATATTACGGGAAAGAGCAAGTGTAGGAAAATAACTGACTAGGATAAAGGGCTTTTAAAACTTGGAATTATATGCAAAAAAAACCCCAGTAAATATWAAGGTTGTCTTACAAATTTTAAAGCAATGCACAATTTGCAACTTTAAACAGAAATCTTTATGTGGGATTTCCATGGAAATGATTCTATATGCTAGTCCCCTCATTACCTAAATAGTTTTACATTTTTGAAATAGAAATCTGAGTGCGTGCTGCTACAGCAGCAAATCACAACAGCCTTACTTCATATGGGATGCTGAGGGAATACACTCTGAATAAAAATAAAATGAATATGGTTATGGTCATGATGCACCTGACAAAATAAATGCACATACCTATTAATACTAGCAGATATGCAGGCTGCATAAATATTAGACTAATGCCTGCAGGATTTGCCAAGGTTTTGCATTTGCCATGTATGCACCCTAACTGAGCACCTTTCAGACGTTGGTAACGTATTGCTATGGTACTTCACCTCATCAGGGCATCCGTCTGGTCTTGGCAGTCGTCCGTTGTTCTTCAACAGCTCAATCAAATGAAATACAATCATCTGCCCTTGTTTATCATTGCCAATCATGCGCATGAATTCCTGAAATAGCGAGAAGACTATCATCAATAACATTTTAATTTAAAATATTGCAAAATTATCACTATTCTTAATAAAACATTATTGTCATTATATGAGAGTGATAAATTCATAAATAAGAACAATGACAAGTTCAGACAATATACCAATGATTAGCTTTGCCTTTATTTTTTGCTTTGTTGGTTTGGAATACAATAGGACAATATATTTGCAATTTAAAGTGGTAACTTAAAACTTTCTAAAGAACGTTGAACATCATTTGACAACTAATTCTAAAAAGTTTTTTGAAAAACAAAAATTAAATTGATACTTTGAAAAATCTTTTGTCAAACAGAGAACACCTAATATCATCCTGATGCATAAATAAAAAAAGAATGATTATTTTATGTACTTACTGCTGGTGGGCTTTTGCTCTTTTCAATGTAGGTGAAGAGTTCATACAAGACCACACCAAAACTCCAAACATCTGAGGCCACAGAAAATTTGCTCTCTGTCAGAGATTCTGGAGCATACCTATAACATAGTAAAAGGAATATTATTCTGTAGTGACTCAGGCTCTTTTTCAGTTCTGAACATATTTCTTATAAGGCAGAAATTTTATGAAGAATAAATTTTCTTTGTTTATAAGCATTAACACGTTCTCATTTCCTTCACCTTTGATAGTAACATCATTTTAACTTTATTTTTATATAATTCAATGTAATTATTATTCATGAGATTGAAAACACAAATCAAATTCCATAAACACAGTTAATGATAACTATAGCCAAGTGTTTTAACAGATTTGTAGACATTCCTTTTATCTGCAGTGTGATAAACCAAGATTTTGATGTGGAAAGACCTGGAAAGAAACATTCTAGCCTCAATCACACTCAGTAAGCCTTGAATTGTGTTCATGTATTTCTGGGCTTAAGTTTTACTCCTCCCCTCAAAATTTTAATTTACTTTATCTTTTACATATCACTTTTTAGAGTGTATAAGGCCTATGTGACCTAAAAAAAAAGTGTAATGAGGAAGATATCTGAGGATTTTGTAAGGAATATTCCTAATGTACTTTCTTAGGTCTTAATTATGACACACAATAGAGAGRTATACATTCTATTCCAAATGTATTCTAACAATTTGAATTTAATAAACCTTCAGTGTCCTTTGATTACACCACATTCTTTCTCCTTCCCAGGTAAGAAAAGCCTAAGGAAGCATTATTTCACTTGAACTTTCTCTGGACACTCACTGCCCGACTTGATCTACTTAATATTTAACCTATTTAATTTAAAAAAATAAAAATAAAAATTTAATATTTATATTACTTAACTTTATATTTAACCTAGCACATCATTCCTGCTAAAATCCAAAAGATTTAACTCCACTTGGTCAGAAGAAAACCTTATAAACAAAGCAGCCAATAGATTAGAATAATCTAATCTATAGATTAAATTACTTCAGGACCCTATATTTTTAGGGAAAGATCCAAAACTTTGGAGAAACATCCCTTTTAAGTTTCTCTGGTCTAAGAGTATCTTTCCTGTGGCATACCACTTCTTTTAAATAGCTATTGAGGTGGGTTTTTTTTGTTTTGTTTGTTATGTGATTGTGAAAGTATACATCTGTATACTTTGAAAATATGCATCTGTATATTTTGTTTTGTAAAGTCAGACATTGTGCACATGACTTTCACAGTGCGGAGCAACTGGCCGAGTTTGCACTTAGGAATTCTATAATATACAAAATTATCAGCTAAAATAGCAAAAGTTAAAACATGTCATGCTTTAATATACTAAAAGAAGACTTACCAAAATATAGGGCTTTCTCCAGGCTCTTTCACTTTATAATATTCCTTGTCTTGTGGCAAGACTTTTGTCAAACCAAAATCTCCAATTTTAACTCTGTTCTCATTCTCCACTAAGATATTTCTGGTTGCTAAATCCCGGTGAACATACCTTTTAGTGCCCAGATACTCCATGCCCTATAGTACAAAGACCACAAACACAACAGAGACAAAAAGTTATTGCTACYATTATGTGGCTACACCTTCCTTGAAGAGGAGATTGAATCTCAACGTTTAAACCAGACACAGTTACCACAGCTGTTGGGCCTGAAGGTTTGTCTTCTCTGAGGTGCTGTTCTTCCAGACACAGGGACTTTGCCCAAGTGGTATGAGGTAGACAGCGCATCTCAGAGCAAACAGTGGTTTTTTGATTATATAAACATGTACATGCTACAGGTCCCTTTCTAAAGCCAAATAAAGCTTGCAGGGAGAGGGAAGGAGAGGGAAAGCAAGAGCTGTGTTCAAGTTCTTGTGCAGTGCAGATGAAGCCCATTCTATGGGACTGCTCATTTCACTTTACTCATTTCCCACATCTCACTCCTGAGTTCTTTGTCATACTTTGTTTTATGATTTCCTGAATCTCATTACCTACTGAGTCTGATCTGATCAGTGTGTCCTGATTCTCTTGCTGATGATGGTCTGTGGATATACATGTTGTTCTCTTTGCTACCATGTAGGCCATGGTGCACAGTGAGAACAAAACTGAGGTAGAAGAGTATTACAAAAATAGAAAGTCTTGCTTATACAGTAGTAAATGATGGAAAAAAGTTGACACTATAGAGCAGTAAGAGGTGTCCCATTCTCACAGACGAAAGGAAAGAAAGCAGGCTCTCAGAATCATTATTTCATAAAAGACATCCCACATCAACACAACCAAAGGGAAGTAAGTGATGCTCTAGCATTGCTGAGCTCAAAGGCTTTGGACATCAGCATTGCACTTGTGTTCCAAATGATTTCTTTTTCTTTTCGGTGAGAGAAGCCTCGAAATTAGTGGCACCTGAGTTCAACCTCCTTCTCAGACCATCACTCCCAGTACCACTAGGTGGCACCGCTGCCTAGCTGGAACATCCCATTCCGTAGGGTTTTAYGGAAGCTTAAGTCTCCTATTCTCTCTACCTGTTTGTCTTCCACGACTGTCCTGAAAAATACCTAACCTAGGTTTTTAGGAAGTAGGATCCTTGGTTTTAGACAACCAGTTAATGTAAGCACTGTAACTTTTTTTCCCATTACCGAATACTAAATACTTTTTTCCTACTTCTGAAGACTAAAAAACAGTCTTATAATTTCTCTGATTGACAGTAATTTCCCAAGTTCTTTTTCCTGCTACAAGGAGTATTTTCCAGGCTCTTAGAGACATTTAAGTGGAATCATGCAATTATTTTGAAAAAATCATATCCTGTGGCACTAACCTAATAATGCAACTGAGTTTAATGATGTGATTGCAAAGATGTCCATGCTCRTGTTAGCTGTGGAAAATAAAGACTAGGAACTGTTTCCCTTTTACATTACCAGTCTCAAATTAAAGGTGTTCCAACATATACTCCCTAGAGTTCACCAGTAAGGATCCTGAAGTGCTTTAAACATGAAGAGATGGAAAAATTTGAAAATTTACTTTTGAACTCTTTTTCCACCAGCCAAAATTAAAGAGGATATAAAGTTCTGAAAAAACAAGCAGGAACATCCCAAAATCAGGTATGTTGAAGGGAACTTCATTTCCTTTTTCTGTTCTTCCACTGCCAAGATTCTGCACAGCTGTATGCTGTTGCTTACTACCACATCAGCGTGGTAGCCAGTAATCAGCAGCTATAGAAAAGTCAGTCTTAGCAAACGCAAACACTGAAATTCTGCTTTTCACAGTATGAGATAAGCACAAAAAAMCATAATCTTTAAGTCGGATCCCCTTCCCAGATTAGCAGAGCGGAATTAACTGCAAGGGAACAACAAAACACAGYCATCTCACCCCACAGATACAGATACACATACACACTGTGAGTTATTTCTCGTGTTTGAGGCAAAAGCAGAATGACAGAATGAGAAAGAATTTTAATTAAAAAACTAAACACACAGGAGTGCACAGTGAAAAGATTTGAAAGAAAACGGTGAAAGAAAACATCCCAGGAGAAGTGTAAAAAAATTAAAGAAAGATTGGGGAAAGAGTAAGAGAGAAAACAAGAAAATGTTCGTTTTTTTCTTTTTTTTTTTTTTTTTTGTCATTGTAACATTAAGTACTGGCTAATTTTATGTTATCATAAAATCGATCTGCATTTTGTCAAACTGAAACAGCCAATTTTGAGGACCTTATTTTTAATACAAGGTTTCAAGCTAGGCATAAGTCAACCAGAGTACTTTGAGGTTTCATTCACAGTGAAATTCTGCATTAATACCTGTGAGAAAAAAAAATGCTTTATAGCAATGGAATACAGTAGCTGTGAATAAAATCAGTGATTTAACCTTTACTACAAAGATAGTGCAGCAACAGTGCAAAATAAATTGCATATTATTCCTAAGCTTTGTTTCCCTTGGAAGTCAGGAACAAGTAAAAGCAAAATATTTTCTAGTTAAGTATTTCTAAAAGGCTGTTATAATTCCATTTCTCTTCAYGTGCATGGGAAATTCAGCAGCAGTGTATCATCTGCTATTATAGTTTTTCATCCCATCCTGTACATCTGCAATATTTTGATGTTTGATCTTTTTGTTAGGTGTATCATTTTATTCCTTTATGTGCTATGACCTGAGCTCCTTTCCCAAAATTTCTTTGTGCTCTTCAACTACCCCAAAAGACCAAAATCCACCTGTCAGTCCTCCTCTCACATGATACCATCCAAGAGAGTCAGGATCCTGAGAAATGTCACGACTGCTCTTCTGTCAGGCTTTGAATACAACTCCAGTACAGACTCAAAGTTGAGAGAGTTGTATCATGGTGAGCAATGCAGATGGCTTCTGACTCTTTGGGTGTTAATTGGCAGACTGTCACAGAACAACACACATGGAATAGCTGCAGTCTTTGCCTTTTAGAAAGTCTCCGTTACATCTTCATTCTATGAAAAATTCACTACCATCTTTTATCTAGGTATAGCTGGGTTTTAGACCCTTGCAGCTCCCGCATATAAATAATGCTTAACTTTTTAGATTTGAAAGCTAGCAGGATGAGTTCTTGCTTTGGATCAGAGGGCATTCTCTTTTGGTGGATGGTCTTTTGGTTCCTTCCTCTTAGCGAAGGAACAGTCTGGTGAATATCTTGCATTTTCCACCTTGCCCATTAAAGAGACCTTGCCCGGAGGCTTCTCATGTGGCCTGACATGACATGCTGCCTTTTGGTGATCCACATGAGACGATGAGGTCAGCTATGAAAGCCCTTTCACATCCTGCAGGCTCAGTAGCTAAGAGGTTTCCTGAGTCACTTCAGTTTCAAGTATGGACCTACCAAGCTCTGTTCACCGGATACAAACTTCTACTTCCTGGAAAAGATCTTTGATTTAGCACACTGTCCCATGTCTGATTCTTGTCAGGTCTTTTCTATGCATACCACAGAAGGAAAACCTGCTGATATAAATGCATCAGGGCACAAGTTTACCAGCTACTGAAGAATATTCAGCAATAACTATATGTTTCCATTTCTTTGGTGCAGAATTAAGGGAAGAAAGTTTAAAAATATTTCAGGAACATATTATTATTATTATCCCTCTTTTCTTTTTGTGAAAGGCAAGTCTAGTAAGTACACAGTAAAGTCTAAAATCTCTTAAGCATAATACTAGAGTAAGGCTAGGGAACATAACCCCATCCATAAAAAAAATCAGATGTGTGCTTCTATTTTTGGAATTAGATAATGGATGTTTAGAGTCTGAAGATTAGCAAATAGTCCTGGAAAATGCTGTGGCCTGTAGCTCTTCATGCACAAATCTGATATACGCAGGCTTTAATTATTCTGACTGCAAATGTAAACCGAGTGAACCATAAAGTAAATATAAACTAAACAAAAATAAACAGATTGCTTTCTTCCCTGAATCAGGACAAAAAAAAGGATAGGTCAATCTCATTATTCTRCCCTAAGATATTCAGAAGTTTATCAGGTTCTTGAGTATAGGAATATATTTCTACCTTGTTTAAGGTTAGCTGGTACTAGAACTATTATATTAACATTATTATAAAAGATATAATGAAAATCAACTTTTCTACAAAAGGAAAAAAGAAAAAAAATGGTATAAAAGTGCTAATCATCTGAAAGTTCTCCTACCTTGCATATTTGAGAGGCATACAACAAAAGCTTCTTGTGATCCAGTCTTTCTTTGTGTTTCTGAAGATAATCTCGCAAGCTTCCAAATGGTAAGTATTCCATAATTAGTCTCAGATTCCTACGACCTTTAACAATACAACAAATATATAGACAACACTGTTTCTTCCTCAAAGTTTTGAAATAAAAATAACTGTAGTAATTACAGTGTTACTATCCAAAAAAGTCAATTTATTCTGTATATATAGTGCATTAATATCTGACTGTTCATGTATCAGTTAACTGCCTATTTTAAGGAAGTACCGTTTATTTAAACATGATAAAATGTGGAGATCTTAATACCTCAATGCATTACCAAATAAGATCATCTCACCAATATGTTAGCTTGTATTACCAAAGCAAAACAAAAATGCCATTTGTGTCTCTGTTTTTGTAATCCTTACTCATTGTGAAAGTAAAACTCAGAATGTCAATGGACAGCAAACCATCTGTAGTTTTACTATCTTTAAAAACGGTAAAGTTAAAGTTTTTTCCTATCTTCTGATTATGAACACATTTTTCTTTTTAAAAGACTTGCCCTAAGCAAAATGATGCTTTCACTCAAACTTTAACAGGGTCAACAATTCAACATTTAATTCAAACATATCAGTTTCTGAAACATTTTCCTGTTAAGTTATCACAGACAGTACGAGTGGTAATACCCACCCCTGAGATATTATATTGAGCAAAAAACAAGTTACAAAACGGGTACATTTTTATACTTAACCCCAAATGCTTTTCTAGGAAGACTTGTTTGTACTTTAAGATAAAGACACTGGGGAACTACCCAAAATATTACTTCTCTACAATCAATCAAATTATGCAATAAGCTGACAGAATAAACTTAAGTCCATTTTGTACTGTGAAGTAGCACATGACAGAGATTACTTTTCGTGTTTTGCATTCTTAAAGTTTGTATAAATTTAGGGCAAATCAGTGACTTCTGTAAGTACTTCTCCCACAGTTTCTCAGTACGCATCCTTAAGTGTATATAGCAAAGTTTACTCAATATGGCACATACCAGCACTGTAGCACACTCCTTTGTACTTAACAATGTTATCATGCTGCAGAGATTTCAGGATTTCAATTTCCCTTTCAAAGTCTCTAAGATGCTCTTCTGTGCTATGTTGCAGCTTCTTTACAGCCACCACCTCTCCAGTATTATCCTGTAGGGGGTCATATCTGCACATCTCAACACTGCCAAAGTTTCCCTAAATGACAAACAAATACTCAAATTAAAAACAAACCTACACCACATCTTCCTAAGTACTGGTACATATGACCTTAATGATAACTGCATTAGAATTAAGATAAACAGACTTGCATTTACGTGAAAAGCCATAAAACTTTCTGCCCCAGAGGGACAGAAGAGGTCAAGATCACAGGAAATAGTTCCATTATGGTAACGTACACATTCACTGAAAGGAAGTGAATATGCTGGAGCAAAGGAGCGCAAGGAGAGAGGGCAATATCCATTCATATTCACCCACATCTCCACATRTTTTCTCCACTTCAAAACGGTCAGCTAAAATAATCCCTTTTCCTGCATTTGGAAAATACTCCACATTTAGGCTCAACCTAGCTCCTAATTCTTCTCTATTTATTGGGGCTTCATCTTACTATTCATTTCCGTGTTCTTATATTCTTTATCTTCTTCTTGTCATTCTTACCTTCACTTTTTCTTCCCTCACTTATAAACTATTCTATATTTCAGCTGCTTTTTTGTCAGGCTTATTTTCACTCCTACTTACAGTAGTGAACCATTCTAGAAAAAAATATATTTAGGTAATATTCTATCAGCTGCATTAAGTCATCAGCCGAGAAATATTTTATACAGCCTGGCTGAATGGAATACAACTTTTTTTTTCACCCAATGCTGGTTTCTASAGCCTAAAATGGTCAAAACAGATATTCTTGGCTTTTTGGACCACAAACTCATACTTCCTGCAATATCTGTTCACAAAATAAAAAGCCTCATTAGCACATTTTAAAATAAATACCTAGTGTAAAGAATAATCATGTCAGGATGTTTTACTACACAAAAAAATTYGGCCATTCAGTGTCATTGGATTCACTGTAGAGATCATTAGACAGATAAAGTAAATAAAAAGAAATCTGAAAGGAACTGCATGTAATGCCTAGATATAACTGAAACTGATCAGTAACAGAAGCTTTCAGTGTAAATAGGGTATATGAGATGATCAGAAGATAACTGAAAAATGATACTTCTTTCCTGGCAATTAGAGAATTTCAAAATATCCTACCTTGCCAAGTTGCTGTAAAAATTTAAGATGTCTTTCTTCAAATTGGGTTGGGTCCCGGTCTTCAAATGCCCCAGAAAACCCAAGAGTACCAGTTCTCATATTTGGCAACATATCATTTTCTGTCAAAAGCTCGTAATCTGAAGTGAGGGGTTAGGAGGAGGGAGGGAATGAGGAGAAAGGGAACAGGAGTCAAAGCAAGAAAAGCAGATAGGAGAATGAAGAAACTTATCACAATGCTGGTATGTCCTACCTTTGCTAGGCATTCCTGAGCACAATATAATGTCAACCAATCCCTTAATTTCTTTAGAATAATTTTTGGCTATAAAAACAAGGAAGTATTACAAAACAGCTAAATGGCTTGTTTTGATGACTCATAACTAGTCTTCCTTTAGTCTTCAAATATGCTTTTTTTGCTGGTCAATTCTACTTCAAATATAGCAGCTAATGTGCAATGACTTTACTACTGCAGGGGGGAGAAACACAAACTCCACAAAGCCTTGTCATAACATGTGTCATCCCCTTAGAAAAAAGGCAGAGACATCTGTCTGTTTTATGCACTGAGAAAAAGGGCAGTAGAAACTAACACATGTGGGATTAAGAGACCTGAATTAAAACCTCTGGGAAAGAGTTGAATTAAACCTTTGGGGATAGATTTGTACTAAGTCATGCTTTGAGAGATTGTGTTAACTTTTAAGGAATTATTTTTAGCAATAAACTAAAAACCATGGCGCACTGATTTAGTAACTTACCGTTATGACAGGGAACCATGGCTAGGTGAATACAATTAAATGCTAGGCATCATCTGAGAACAAACTGACTGGGAACATGTTTCTTCTTTATAGTGTCTTCTTTTTCTAACAGAGACTCACCTGGAGTGAACAAACTATTCAAGTCACGTATAATGGCTCTAAAGGAAGGCCTGAAATCTGGCTCATAATCCATACAGTTGTTTATAAGGTTTGCTAGTTCTGTCCAGTTAGGAGCAGGAAGCTGGTGTCTGTCTTCATAAAACTGTAGCTTCTGCGATTAAAGAGGTTCGATAGAGTTTAGCATGTGAGGAACTATGAGGTGCTGCATTATAATAATGGTCTGGCCACAACAGCAAAAGCAAACAAACAAAAAAAAAAACAAAAAACAAATACACAGCTCTCAACCTAGATTCTTTATCTCATCGACATGTATAATTGACTGATTTATTTCAACAATCAAAGTTGACAGTCTAGCAGAACTGGCATAATTTAAATTGGCTCAAATTCCAGGGCTGCTACTCATGGAAGATAAGAAAAGGAAGAAAGATAATGAGCCTAGATGCCCTTTCCTTTGCAATAAGTTAATAAAACCCAAAAGGGACAGAGCCAGCAGAAAATTCTATCTACCTGTGCACAGGCTGAACTCCTCTAATTGTAAAAACTTCATTCATCTTATGAAAGAACACAGATTAGTAGAAGAGACAAGAGCAGCTTCTGAAACATCTAGATCTACCTAGGCCTATAAACTACTCCAGGACTTTATTAAGAGCTGACCACAACACCAGGTAAGTTAGATCAGGCTTTAGGAGGAGAAGCTAATCAGTCATTATCATGATAATAATACTACAAGTCTTATATAACTATAAAATATTATTTAAGTGCTCAAATTAATAAAACTAATGTCATGTACATTTTTAGAAATACATCCTGCTTAAATATACAGGGGTAACAGTTGCAACAAGACAACAGAATTAAGACAAAATTACCTGTTGTGCCTTTTTGTGCCAAGTTGTGCCTTGTACCCATAAAAATTAAAGCAACAAAACCCAAACCTGTGGCTACCAGTAAAAGCGTAGTTTTGATCCAGTGGTCAGAGGCCGCACGACTTCACATGAACATACAGCAGCAGAAGTTCTAAGTGTGAAAAGAATTGTTATGACTGCAGATCCAGTAATACTTACTCTTGGAGAATCCAGTGCACTTAGAGGCTTGTCTCCTCCGCTGCAGATTTCCCATAACGTAGTGCCAAAACTCCATTTGTCTGTGGCCAGACTTAATTGCTTTGGATTCTCAATACATTCAGGTGGAACCCATGGTATTCTTTCAAGAAGAACTGTGAAATCACACAAACAAAATATCATGCTAAAATTAGTAATGAAAACAAAGTTCTCCAATATGTTAGATTTATTTCCAAAGTTCTATAACATGTTTGATTTAGCAAACATATTTTGAGTATACCCAGATTTAATTTTGTAATATATTTTGAATACCTTTCCAAATTTCTGGTCTTGACTGGAAAGAAAGCTACAGAGTATCTATAGAAACAGTAGGCAACTTTGAAGGAAATTTTGTAACACTGGTCTCATTTGGCAACAAAACTAATTTTTCTATATTCTGGTTTATAAAAAGTTGCCTTGATCTCAATCCAGACTCATATTTTTCCTTTGACTTAAATACTTTCCCTGATGTTATCAAGTTTAGAAGCTACCATAAGGGAACTAAATGGAGAAAAATAAAAAACGTACTTTGTTACTGGTTGATATATTGAGCATTCTTTAATGGCACAGTAATGGAATGGAGCAATAACATGAATTTTATACTTACAGATTCTGAAATCTTTTGATACTTATTGTAGTAACACGTTAAATATTATATCATGACTATGGATAATATTTCAAGAGCAGATCTTAGAAAGATTGATAGAAGCTTTTAAATTAAGAACTTTATAGTTTACTGGAAAATATGTTGTCACACTGTTTATAGCCTCTGAGATGTATTATTTCTTTTAGCATGTATAAACTGACAAAGTATGCTGTATTTGTTTTCCCAAAATTATTTGAGAGAAGAAAAACAATAATAAGGTTCCCATCAGATTCATTAGCACACTAATGTTGCACACATTGCACATTTCTTTTAGACAGAGTTATCTTTTTCTGTTTATAAAAGCAGTATAAGAGCAAAAACAATAACCAAATATCTTAAGATTCATCTGTGATTTCAGGCATTCACCATGCACTGGTGATAATACTGAATTACCAGTCAGCATTCTCAGAAATGCTTTTCCTTTAAATTTTGAAAGCTTCTCCAACCTACAAAACAACCATGGCTGTGAAGAGCATCTTAGAGAATCAAAACCATTGAATAGGACTTCAGAGGTTATTTTAAAGTAAAAGCAGTGTGAAAGAATCTCCTATAATGTATCAGATATACATTTATTTTAAGCCCAGACTTACTGTCTTTTGGCAATACTGTAATACTGATGCCAGGATCACTAAGTTTTATGAAAGGAAGGTTTCCAGACTTCCTGTCTTCTTCTCTGATAAGCAAGATGTTTTTTGCACAGACATTCCCATGAACAAGGCCTTTATCCTCCTGATGGACAGAAATGCAGCTTTTACATACAGACAAAAATATCTTAAAACTTTTGAAAGCAATACTTTACAGCATGAAAGAAAAATTAGTAAAGAAAATGCTAAAAGATTAAGTTGATCAAATTTCCTGGACATTTCATCAGCTTTTCTCCTAGAATTAGAGTTTCTGAAAATCTTTATTCATGTTAACTATCTACCTAACTTTGAGGCTTAAAACTGTTTTAATAGATATTAACTTGGGTGAATACATACAAAATGAACATAAGATTCCAAATCTTTTAAAAAGAGTTTCATCTAATCACATATCTTGTCCCAAATAATGGCCTTTCTGCAAAATCAAATGGAAATGATAGAAAATACTGAGGCCTAAAGCACTCAATACACCCATGCACAAAAAGACTAGCAGTTTCAACAGCAATGGTTAGGTGCTACTTGGTTAACTAACATTTTTGGAAGGAGAAGTAAAATTCAGATTGATTTTTTTTTCTTATTCCCAATAAACTTGGACAGTGGAAAAATCCAAGTGCCCTTTGCATAAGACAGAATGGTTGGTCCTCAGCTATCCACTAAACCTACCTGGTTATGCCCATTCTATTTTCAAATTGCCCACCCAAATTCAAGAAGGGACCAATCATTCCAGGTGTGTATGCCTCAGTCTTGAATCCAGCCTGAAACTCTTGAATCCAACCATTAATAAAAGTGAAAAATAAACCACCTACCAGAAAATGCATGGCTAATGCCAGCTGTTTAGCTACTTCCAACTTCCACAAAATATTGATAGCATTTTTATTCTTTTTCAAGTATGTGTCCAAGGATCCAAATTTTACATACTCCTGTACGAGGATATCTGATTTAAAATGTTAGAAGAGTAACAATTAAAAACAACAATAAAGAAATCTTAGAATCCTTCCACCCTCACGATAAAAGTACAATAAATGAGTTTGCAATAAGCTCTATAATGTACAACATCAACGTAGTAAGTAGAATAAATCCATTTCAAGTCATTCAATTCTTAGTTGCTTACAGTCTGTACTTTGATTGAAAAGTGGGATGTTTTGTTGAAAAAAAAGATGTTTTTTTCTTGAAAAGAGGCTGGTAACAGCTCATCTTCTGTAGCACTAACAAGTTTGATATATTGGTAAGGAACGTGCCTCCCTGCAGTCAGCCAGTTAACAATCCAAGAACAACAAAAAAAGTCCATTTCACAGTGTTGCACAATCTCTATCAGGTTGCCTGAAATCTTGCCATCAATTACAAGATGCTCACAATCCGATAGTACTCATTTAAACTCTAAAGATTAATCACAGAAATCACTGGAATTACATTTTGTATTAAAAAAAACCTTATAAAGACAATTTTCACAATAGTCTGAAACATTAATCTGGATATGAATTGTTCAAACTATAGAAAGCCAAATGGTCATTGTTTGTAATTCTTGGTAACTGCTTTTTACGAAAGTGTAGATTTAATAAATCTCTTTTGTCCTCAGAAACAAAATAAAGTGTGCAGTTGTGCTCTAAAGAAGAAATCCATCATCAGATAACCCATTTACAGAAGTATATTTTATCTAGCTGGAATTTTTATTAGCAGTCCCTAGAATATGTATGCTTATTGTGCTATGAATAAGCTAGCAAAATCAACCTGTAGGTGCATTTACAAAGAAAAAGATAATAATAATTTCTTGATCAAATATTTTCCAACCTTCTAATCGGAGCAAATCCTGATACAGAAAAAACTGCCTGCAGCTACAATAGAAAAAAGTGCAGATTCCCTTCATCTTAATACAGGACATAACATAATTATCTTAACTAATTAACTAAACTTAATAAATATCTTAAAATATGACTCAGTTACTGTAAAGYGATTTATTTTGTGATGAAACTGTAATCAGAGGAAACAATCCTTTTGTGTTAACTGACACCAGTGCCAAAGAGTACAAGAGAAAGACTGCCACAGCAAGCTCCAACAGGGAATATTTGAAATAGCATAGATGGAAGAATTGATTTGAAATTAATATTTAAAATTTAGGGTGCTATAAATGCACTCTTCCTGAAGATAATGCAGTGATTCTTGTCTTTAATTATGTTGGCAAAGGTTTTGTTCAAATGATAAGGCTTTGTGTTTCACATCTCTAAATCAAATTCCGACAGCTGCTTTTGTTTTCACAAAACTAGCATGTGCACACATGTTGGGTAACAGTTAAGTCATTTTCTTGGGTAGCTGGCCACTTCTAACTGACCACAGTTAATAAAAATGTGGGGTGGGAAATTTTCTAAAGCGTCAAGAGCTAGTTTCAGGAGCTTAGCAAAACTTTTTGAAAATCAGGTTTTCAGATGGAACAGATATGATAGTGAATCATTTGCAAAACTTCCTACTCRTATTCATATTTGCACAAAGGTTTTCATTTTCTCTGTTATCATAATMATTTAAATGTTGTTTCAGACATCAAGATTTACACTATTGCATTGCATAAAGTGACCTGTAGATGTGGCGTTGATTTTTCCATTCTCTTACAAAACTAATTACAGTCGTATAGAATTAGCATATATAATTATTTCTACTTACTTTCTTCTCCACAAACACAGACTCCATAATTTAATACCAAATGCTTGTAAGAAAGCTGGCTCATCATACTTGCAGCTTCAAAGAAGGACTTTGAGGAAGAAAGAGAGAGACAGAGAGAGAGAGAAAATAAAAATAAGAATTAAGACAAAACTTCAAAGCATTATATAATCTCTAGCAAAATACTCATTCTTCAAAATACTTCAATTTGCATCTCAATGTAAATATTCTATGTAATACAAACTATGATGCTTATTTTTGCCCAGACTTTTATTTCTTATTAACTGAAAGCGCACGTTACAGAGAAATTATCAATCTGTTTTCCTGCAGCTCCACACTTCAAACTCGTCATGGTATCTCAGTGGGCAGTTCAGAACTCCCAGAGGGATGGGAGAAGGTAAAGGACATAAGTGTGCTTTACAGAGCCAGTCCTAAACCTATCCTCTCAGTATATCATGCGGCTAAGTTGTGAGCAGTACTCTACTATACAGCAAATACTCTAAGTTGTTCACTGTAAGAAAAAGTAATGATCTGTATATGATGGACAAATACAGCCCCAGACAATCATACTCACCTCAGAGTAGTTTCTATGCACTTTATCCAGCACCTTTAAAAGAACTTCAGTTTGATGGAGCTGGCCRTAGTCTCCCACTTCTTTTCTTATACCTTTGAAAATCTTTGTAAATGTGCCCTGTCCAAGACTCTCTTCCTAAATGTCAGGAAAATAGAAAAAAAAAAAACAGAAATCTTTGTTTGGTCTGGAAATATTCTCAAACTTCCACCCAAAATAACCACATGTAAAACAGTTCACAGTTAACACACATCTTGAGTTAGACTGACAAGACTGAGAAGAAGCTACACCAGAAAACATAAATCATTTCTTGACTTTTTACATATCTCAAGAAATAAACTGCTGCAAGAGCTAGAGAAGAGAGAGCTACTAATACTGAGAGGTATTTGGACATCTGTTGGCACAGAGAAAATATTTGCTATTGCAGTCAAAAGAACRTTTTTAATAAGACAAAAGAGACTGTATTATGGAACAATTCTAAATATTCTCTTACAAGTCTAGGGAAAGACTACAGCAAAGTCCCTTTAGATAAGAGTATTTTAAGTACATACTAAATTGTTACAACTTAATATAGATCGAACCAACCACTTGCAGCAGAAGATGCAATCAAAGGACTTACAAATATCAAGTCCTCATTACGGATTTTGTGAAAGACCATCTGGTTGACATTATTGTGTCTCTGTAAAGTAGGTGAYGAAGGTACATCAGAAACACTATTGCTTCTGAAAACTAGGAGGTTTGATTTATCTGCCAAGGAAAAAAGATTGGGGAGAAGAAAATAAAAGCAYAAAATATAAAACTCTGACTATATTATTGTAATAGAATAATTAATGAGAAAAAGACAATATCCTTCCAAGGTCAATTTATTCAAAAGGTCACACAATATTTCAGAGATCCATTAAACAAATTCAGAGTATTAATTCTTCTAATCAGCAGAAAGATTCAGGTTCACTCAGCTTTTTTTTTCTACTGTTTCTTAAGTATGCCTATTACTGCACAAGCACATTCTGAAAAGAATCTAAGCTCTTTTCCTGTCTTAATTTTTGCTGTATTTGGAGTAACAATTAGGTATGGAAAAAAAGGCATATAAATCACCTCTTTCCACATTACATAGTCTTTCTGACATAGACACTTCAATGTCTCTCTCGAATTTGTAAGTATTTTTGCTCCCACTGTATGTTGGTGATCCTCATGGCCTTATATTTACCACAGCAATTATTCTTTACGTGATCTTGAAAAAAAGGCTCTCCAGGCTGTGGAGCAAATTTGCCAGTGAAACAAAGCTGATAAATACACATTTATAGGCAAATGTGTGCGTGCATATGTGATTATACTGATTACATACTTTGTAATTCAAATGCATATATTTTATTGATTTCCCTGGAAATAAGGCTTTGCAATTATTCTCTGTAACAYGTACATGCATTTATCCTGGTAATTTCAATCAAATCTGACAGAGTTAAATATATGTAACAAATACACGCTTGAGTGTTTTTTCTTTTTTAATACAGATTCAGAGACAGATACTTATTACTATTCACTTAAGAAGGAAATAAAGAGGGCAGACAATTGTTATTAGAATGCACAATGRAGAAAAAGAATGAATATCCAAGTGAGGGCAAAACTTGAATATAAATTCAAGCCTAGTGAGATTTTAGAAAATCATTTCCCTAACAAGTACTCTACTTTCATTCATGCTTTTAAGTAATAAATAAGGGTTGAAATCACATTCTGGTCTAGAATAATTTAACTAGGCAACAATGTCAAGTAACAATGAAACAAATCAACTATGGAAATATAGCACTGTTGGTTCCTTTGCTTATGGGACTGTCTAGTAGGAAGGGATACATTTAGCAGCTTCATCCTTCAAAGCTACTTGGCTGAATAAGAAATTCTAATGCACACAAGCCACTGCAATTAAGAAAACAGTTTTACTTTTGACATAAAACTTTCAGCTACCACATTTTTTTCTCGAAAACCAAGAAAAATCTAATCATGAAAAGTTGGCACTACAATGGAAAATCCTCTGATCAGAGGATTACTTAGATATATGTGCATGTGTGAGGGAAAACAACAAAAAAACCCACAACCAACCAATCAGAAGCCCACACATATATATTTGCCTCTCAGAGATTCATTTAATCTATTAATGAATTTTGGAAAACTCAAATTAAATGTCTGACACACATATGTTTAGCAGTAAGTTATCATCCCTTACCTTTTGGTTTTGGAGGACAGCATTTGATAAACTGGAAAATTATGCTGTCTGAACGGACAGTTTCTGTCTGGTAACAGGTCAATAGATCCTTAAGATTACCAAAACTTCTTTTRGTTCCACTAAGATTATATTCTCCATTTTCATTTTTTGTAATTAAGCAGTGCTTATAATCAGTGGCATTTTCACGCTGCAGATTTTTCATTAAAAAGAAATATTTACTGTTTAGAATAAATTTACTATTTAAAAACATTTTTTGAATACAAAGCACCCCACTATTTAAAAAGAATTCAGCATGTAGCAAATATTCACCCCACTATTTAGAAGAACTCAGCAAAATAGCAAATTAATTTGCTATTTTTATCTCACTATATCATAATATCTTGTTTTCTTACAGTCAGTATTTCCAAATGAATTAGTATAACGATGCTAAAAAACAAATGTTACCAAATCTCCTGCCACAGAGACTTCAAAGCACAGAATGCATTTAGTAATCTAGCGAAAGAATAATAAAACCGTTYCATCCTAAAAACCCATAATAATATTAAAATAAAATTTTGCTGGAAGTAATAAACCAAACGCTCAAATTGAATGCCTGCTAGACATGGCACAGATGCAAGAAAAGCTCTTCTGAAAAGCATTTTGAGATCTCAGCTGTGTTTCTACTTTTTTTTATTGTCTACGCTGCAGTTCCAAGCTCCTTGTTTCCAGCACAGATTCTCATTATGCATTGAATTTTTTTATGTTGAATCTTGAAGAGAGCACACTGGCCTTCTCTAAACAAGAGGACCTCTTAAAACTGCTTTCATGTGCCTTCATATTAGCAATGTTGAAAATGCTCCAACAAATTCTGAGTCTCAAAACCCTTTTAATTGCTTGCTCAGAAATAATCATAAGAAGTAGAAAATCGGCAAGGCCAATTAATGGCAGGTGTAACTTGGTCTGGACATTCATACTTTTGAAAGTCAGAAAATGATCTCCTGGTCTGAAAAATCCCTTTCACGTACACCTTACTGACTGGACATACATTTTAAATGAAAGTGATCACAAAATGGCTGTTTACTTCTTCATCCACACCAACATTTTTTTTTGTTGCTGTTCTCAGAGATTTGCAAATGTCTGACAGTGTTTAGCAAATTTGCTATCTTTCTGCAAACCAACAAGAAAGTCCACAAGATATTTCTTCTACTAATGAACTCCCAAAGTAGCTCAGCTTAAAAAATAATAATAATTAAAAAAAAGGAATAAGACTATGTAATTGTATAACAGTAATACTGTAAAGAGCAGAAAGATATCTGACCCTTTAGCAGCATTAGCTATTGTGGCTTTCATTCTAGTTAATGCATGCTTAACAGATCCATGTTGATATAGGCAGCTGCTATAGAATCTGTCTGGTCTAGCACTGCGAAGGAAAAGACAAAACAAAAAGAAAGACTCCCAGAGGCCCTCCCAAAACCAAGGAGAATTTGGAGGTACACAGACAGATCACCAACAGAGCTAACTACATAACTAGTCTAACCAAGCCCCAGTCTGTTTTTTTTTTTTTAAAAAAAAAGATGATATCGCCAGAAAAAAAAAAAGACCATTTCACCCTTCCCAGAACTCTCAAGCTCTCTTCTCACCAATTCTCTTATTCTTCAAGGTACATCAAGTATCTATCATTTGTGATTGCTGGCCATACACAGATCAGCACATGCTTCTTGCAGAAKGAGAAAGTTTTCCCTAATTTCCTGGAAGTTTCACCTAACACAAATATAGCTATAGAATTCCACAAACAGTCTGAAAAGAAAACTCAGAATAATTTGCTGTGAGCCTCTGCTTACTATTGCAATGCAATGAAAATTGTGCAGATGCTATAAAAGGCAAAATACCAACCTCTATGGCAAAGGTGAGGAAGTACTTTTTGAAATCTTTAGGGCTGCAGCGAAGAACATAGAAGCCAGTCTGATTACCTGCTTTCTTCAGTTTATTGATAGCAAAGTCCATGCTATAATAAAAGAAAATATATTTAATACTGCGTAATTTCAAAAATCAAAAACATTAGAGATTGACTAAGAAGTACTAACAATCAGATGTGTATAATATATTTTGATGACAACTAAAGTTCCCAGTTCTTTAGAACTTCACTTCAGCCAATTTTTGGTCTCTTTGTTTTACAATATCAGAATAGCTACATACACACAAAAAAGCATATTTTAAAACTTTCAATACTGAAAACATCACAATTGCCCATTTCGTAAGAAACTTTAAAGTCTAAAAAAAATTATTTTTCTAGACTTAAGGTGCGACTTTGAACTTCCAGCATGGAACAAACTGTAAAAACGATGCTTCATATAAAAGATTAAGTTAGTAAAATCAGGTGGCAAATTTAGGGCTAAAAGGAAAGACTGCTTAAAATAAAATTTCTTACATCTTTTATTACTACAAAATTTAATTTTCCCTTAAACATGCCTTCATAATTTTCATAGATGACTGTTTCAGTCTAGTTCCAGAAAAAAGGAATCTGGAAAGATTCAGACTCATTTCACATCTTTCTCTACAGCTCTAAAAATGTCAACATATGGCATTARTCTACATCAGCAGAAACAAGTAATGTAGTTAAATTTGTATTGGTCTCCATCCTTCTTCATCTCTTCTGAGGACTGTAGCACCTATGCTTTCTATCACTAGTAAGTTTCCAGATAGATCTACTGAACAGAGTAGTGCTCATTTTATGCAGTATATGGTAACTCTCTTGCATATATCAGGAAAACCTTCAAGCTTCCTATAGGCTGAAAAAAGTAGTTATTTTATTCAGCCATCTTAAAGCATTGTTAAACTCAATATGCATCCTTCTGCAAACAACAAACAACACTACATATCAACTCTTAAAATCAACACAAGTACCAAGTTCTTTCTTTAAAAAAATGGAGAAAATGAAAAATTAGATAATATAAAAAATAAACAGAAATCAGAAATATGTGAGCAGGAATTTCTTGTACTCCTTCAAATATTAAAGCCAGTGAATTTGCCTTTTACCCTTCGCAATTCACATACTACTTCTGTTAGAGGCCGCATTGAAAACAGGAGATTCTTTGTTTATTGCATAATATATTGTTGCTATAGTTGTAACTATAATTTTGTAAATTCAATATCATGTCTTTATTGCCGGTCTCAGTTGGAGAAATAAAAGTAATTATAAAGGATGAAAATTAAAATCAGCATTTTTTTGATAATATATTAACAAAACACTGCGTTCTGCAAAGACAAAAACTAGAGGAGAAAAATCAAACATTTTTTATTAGATATATGCAGTAAATACACTCTTCAACAGGTCCTTCAGGATTCACGGTTGGCTAAAGTTCATCTTTCAAAAGCAAAAGCAACTTGTTATGATACTAGGAAACAGCTTACAAAATTGGCCCATGGCAGTTGCTTTGGATATTTTCAAGCACTGATGGTGGTGCTACTTCTTTGCAGAGATAATGGTGGGCATCTGCAGTTAATCTGTAGTATCCATCAATTAATGATACAAAGGAGAGAGCTTCTTTTAATGACTGAAATTCAGCCTCCTGTTGAATTGCAGGTGTAAAACAGAGAAAGAAGGAGGTGGGGGGGAGAGAGGGAGAGGGAGAGGGAGAAATATTATTCAATTTATAATAGGCAATAAAAAAACTTGTAAATGGTAATAATATAACTCATAAATACATATCAATATTAAATATATCCAGATTGGTTTTTATTATTATTTGTATGTTTTTAACTCTCAAGTGCACAAAAGTTGACCTGATCAGCGTGTATAAATACCTCAAGGGAGGCAGTGAGGAGGAGGGGGGCGGCCTCTTTTCAGTGGTGGGCAGGGATAGGACTAGAGGAAATGGCTTCAAACTGAAGCATCGGAAGTTCCACAGGAACTTAAGGAAGCATTTCTTCACTGTGAGGGTGACAAAGCACTGGAACAGGCTGCCCAGAGAGGTTGTGGAGTCTCCTTCTTTGGAGATCTTTAAAACCCGCTTGGATGCAGCCCTGTGCCACGTGCTCTAGGTGACCCTGCGTGAGCAGGGGGGTTGGACTCGATGACCTCTGAGGTCCCTTCCAACCTTCGGCATTCTATGATTCTATGATTCTATGATTCTAAAAGTTGGTAGTAAGCTTTAATGTTCATTGTGAAATGAAAAACAAACAGATGTTCTGGAGAAAGTTGTTTAAATATATGAAATAGCAGATGAATGTAAACAAGAGAGAATAATTGAAAGGGAAAACTCAAGCCAACACTATTCAGCATGACAAACAGATTTTTAATACAGCCAAAATTTCTTTCCTAAGGGAAAGTCTCTGCTTATGAAAGATTTATGGGGATTTTCCTCAATTAGCAGAGAAAAATCTCATAAAAGCTACTTGACTAAAAACATTTAGCTCAGAGACCTTTGCCTACCAAACAAGATGAGACATGCAACAGAGAGAAGCTGGGCTGTGAGGAACGAGGTCAAAGGAGAGAAGGGGGTGTAAAAGGTCTATGCAGAATGCACTGAATGGTCAAGAGCAGGATAAGATCAAAACCATTTAATCCAAGACTCTTGGGACTCACTTAAGTGGCTAAACATATTTTGGTTTTTTTCCTGCACTAACCAACAAATAAAAAAGCTGGTGCTCCTGAACATGAGATAAGAACTTGTGTGGAGGCTTGACATTCCTTATTAGAAGAGGACTTGGTAACAACCATATTTCCATCTGTTTCAACATGATCAGAACAACTGCAATTCCAGCAGTTTTAAAGCATCCATGTATACTTAAGCCACTACATCAAATAATTTTTATAAGGGATTCTGAAAGGTTAATCTAGATCATAGCTAACTGTAGCATGTAAAGTATCCACATGAAAAGCATGAACCACTGCACTTCAAAGCATGGAARTGTTACAAATTTCCATATCAGAAAATATAGCATTGGTTTTGGACAAGCTTCTAGAAAATGAGTTTTGTCCTTAAAAGTATATGCACTGAAGTACCCAACTCTACCACTACTGAGAACTTTTTGAAAGAATATTAGGTGCTCAAAGTTAAAGGAGGCTTCCTTCATCTGTCAGAAGTAATTTTACATTCTAAATATCATGCATGTACATCACAGACATCCATCTACTCTTGGATTTTAATGTGGTATTTTGAAAACAATTTGCAATTTTCAACAATTATATTATAAAACAAAGCAAATTATATGATTCTATATTCCATATCTGCATATCATTACTCCTTCAGAGCATTTTAATGTCTCTCTTCAAAGCTAATCACCAATCAGGTGACCAACACAGGTCAGGTACACCAATCACAGTCAGGTACAAGAACCCATCTGCATCTGCATATCAGGAATTCACCTCAGTTGTAAATATCTATTTCAATCATTGCAGAGAACTTTGAATGCATAGGATCTTCACTTCATATTTTCACTCACTGCTTACAATGCAAAAATGCATTTTCATTTTATACCTAATTAACATATAATACACAATATATATACACACAATATATATATAATTAATATATAATACACAATAAATACCATCGTAATCACAATCTGCTCAAAGTAACTTTTTTCTCTTTYAAACAAATGCAGAAAAGTCAACAGACCAGATTCTTGCTGTCTTGCTTGTGAATGGTGACAATTCTTCTCTCACTGGAGCCTTCCTGGCTTGCTTGTTTGATGCTGACATCAATGATATCAGGAAAATCACAGTATGTTTGTAAATCCTAAAACAAATTTTGTTTATACCTTCAGCAATATAACAAATTTCAATTAGGAGCTTACACAAAATATTGAAATTGCTAAATTCCAACAACACTAAACTAATATTTCTACAGAATTACTACAGAAAGGAATTCAGAAGACCTAAAAAGATTTAAAAGAAGAAATTAACCCTAGAAATGTTGCTGATCTTTATTTAGAAATACATATATATATATATATATATAATATCAGAATTTTATTTCTTGAACAGCTCTCACCTTCACCTCAACTCACTTACTATGACAGTTGTCTATCAGGCTGCTAGATGTTAGATCAAAATATATTGTCAAGTAAGTCAAATTGAAAATATAATATCCAAAATATGAACAGTTCCTGAAGAAGTGTTGTTGATTGCCAAGGTATCAGTTTTAAAGCAACAAAATTTACATGTCTAAAACCTGACTCTAGCAAAGAGGATCCTAAAATCTCAAACAAATTCTCAAAAGAAATGGATTATTTGTTTACAGAAACATTGCTAAGAGGATTAAAAGAAAAAAAAAAGAAAAAAAAAAGAAAAAATAAACACCCAATTGTGAGAATAAATACACATACAAGGGTTTTTGATTTAGTCATTTTTTGGATCTGTGCAGTGGTGACCACATGGCATATTTTGAATAGTTTTTTTTTTTAAGGGGATTTTCTTTGGTACATTATTAGTAGTACCCTAATCGAAAGGTTAAAGGGATCCTTTTCTTGTTTTCTGTAAAATGCTACGGATCAACTTCATACCAAGAGTTACCTAGCTAAAATAGTTTTTCCAGTTGATAGCTTATTCAAGTATATCCCTTTACATTACTGCAACCTTTCTGCAATAATATATTGAGCATGTACTGACTCTCAAAGTCTTGCATAAATTAGCACAAATGCACTGAAGTTATTTCTATTTAAAATGGGTTGCAAGAAATGTGAAGTGTGAAAATAATTTTCTCTTTTCACTACCCTAAATATGTCATTGCCACCTTCAAAAAATAAAAACCTTCTTCCAATCGAATATCTCAGTAATATATCACAGTAGTTTGCTGAAATAGGAATTATAATCATACTTACAGACAGGTAYATTCCATTATTAAGTTTTCATAACCACTCATTTCTACATGACTTTTCATCAAATTTCTTGTCAGCAAATAGGAAGCATAACATTTATTAACCATGAAAAGTAATTTTAAAATCTCCATGTGAAAAAATGAATTTAAAGACCATTTAAATCTAAAGGCTTCTCATGCACAAACAACATGTATAAATATGTATAAAATTTATTTAAAATTATGAATAATTTCATAAAAATGTGGTTTGAAGATTCCAGATAACTTGAATCCACTTGCAAAATCTTAGCAAGGGATGCAAAGCTGATGTTTAACAGTCAAGTAAATTAATCTAGTATCAACCGAAAACTAGTCTTAAAAAGGATTCAGATAAATCTGGGTATTTTCCCGTTAATACAAGAAAAAAAATTAAAAGGTATTTTTACAAATTACTAAAGCCGTTTGTAAAATATAACATATTACATAGTTCAGTCCTGAATGCTTTATACCATGCATGAAAACTAGTGAGGTAACAAACGCCATTGTTTAGTAAAACTGAATTGTGTTTTGCTTTCATTTCCTCTTTGGAAAATCCCAATACTCAAGGGTTATCTTAAAAGTATCAGGTTTTGGTAAATCTAATCAACAAATAATTATGCTGGTATATCAAACACAGCAGAAAGAAATCTGATAAAGATACAACTGTGAATGATTACAACGAGTTATTGAATCTTTCTAATTCTGAACAAAACCTGTATGGACCCTGCAGTCATAAAAGTATAATTTTAAAATTCTTAGTTAAGATACTGGTAGGCTACAAAATGCAGCAGGAAGGATTATATTTTATCCTGTTTTATCCTGCCTTTCTTCATAAAGCACTGATCTCAAAGAGAGCTTGAGGATAGTATTCATTTTACTTAATTCTGGAGCCATCGCCAATAATTTTCGATATCAGTTAGACCATTAAGATTGTAATAACACCAAATTTTTCATTTGTTAAAATATTTCATGTTAAAGTCCTATTTTTTACATAATGCATTGATAAAAACTTATTTATAAATGCTATACTATTTGAATCAAGACAAATTTGTGTGTGCATATGCCATATAGAAATTTTACAATTGCTGTGAAGTTTGATTTTAACAACCAGAACTTCTAACAAAAGGAAGTCACTATTACAAATTAAACTGCAGAATTTAAATAATAAGACAGCTGCATTCAAAAAGATTACCTGTTCTGTAAGTGTCTCACAGTCTTTAAGTTTTCCTCTTGAGCACTGAATTCCACCATTTCCAGTTATTACAATTGTTGCAAAACTCTCCTCTCCAGAAGGATCTCCACCAGGCTCTTTTACTTCAAAAACCTCTGAATAGAAGGCAGACTGAAGGGTTTCCAGATTTATAAGATACTTAAGTTTCAAGTTTCTGGCAGTAGCTTTGCATTGGCCAAACTGTTGTATAAATTTTCGGAACCTGTACCTTATTCTTTTTCGTGTCAAAATGTGGTAGTCTTGGATTTTTGCTCGAACACATTTAGGCAAAAATGTTTTGTAGCTGTGAATACATAATGAGCAAAAAAACTTCTGATTTTGTCCACTATATCTAGGAAAGATAACTATTTCTGTGCTAAATAAGTCAACATTATAATCACTTTCACCATTAATTATAACTTTTTTTTTTTATTTTAAACAAAACATTGAAGTTCCTTTTTTTTCAACCTGTGGTTTATTATTTCAAATGCACATCCATCTCTTCTCCCACTTTTCTTTATTCAGTTTTATCATATTTGAATCTATATCCAGAGTCATTTCTTGTGTTTTTGTTTTGATCTATTCCTGTACGTTTGCCATTAATTATTTGATACAACACATGAGGGCCTGGAACAATGCCCTATGAGCAAAGGCTGAGAGAGCTGGGCCTGTTCAGCCTGGAGAAGAGGAGGCTGAGGGGGGGACCTGGTCAGCGTGTATAAATACCTCAAGGGAGGCAGTGAGGARGAGGGAACCGGCCTCTTTTCAGTGGTGGACAGCGATAGGACTAGAGGAAACAGCCACAAGCTGAAGCACCAAAAGTTCCACAGGAACTTAAGGAAACATTTCTTAACAGTGAAGATGACAGAGTCCTGGAACAGGCCGCCCAGGGAGGCTGTGGAGTCTCCTTCTCTGGAGATCTTCAAAACCTGCGTGGCTGCCAACTTGTGCTCCGTGCTCTAACTGACCTGTGTGCAGGAGGGTTAGACTAGATGATCTCTAAAGGTCCCTTCCAACCTTAAGGGTTCTATGATAACTCTGATAACTCTACATAAATGTACTTTCTGTAAATACTGACATTTCTGTTTCAGCCATTATTGCAGTTTGAAAAAGGATGGTAAGAAAAACTCCAAGCTAAAAAAATACATATTTGTTTTGCTTGGTATAGAAGCTGGAAAGAGGTAAATTGGATGGGAGACAGAAATGATCAGATGTTCCGATTACACCCGAAACCTGAAAATACAGATAACTGAATACAACCCTGCAGCTGATCCTCACTTATATTTTCTATGCCACAGTCTACATTATTTGGGGCTAAAAAACCATCCACAGACAGGATCACTGTGTTGGCCTGTATAGCCCTTTCTGCAAGGTTTCATTATAATGCAGGCAAGAAGGATTAATTAGCAAGCAGCATGAGAATTAGCTTGGCTGAAGTGGAATCTGATTAGAAAATGGAATGGGAATATGAAAGCCAAGGTATACCATGCTTTCTTCACCTTAGCGTTCACTGTAAAGGTGTCCTTTTCAGGAGACTCATGTCCCTGTGCCTACCAATGGAGTCTATAGAACAAAATACTACTGGTAGTACTGGATCAAAAGAGATGCATTAGTGTGCTGAAGGAGCTTTTGGATATCATTAGGGAGACTGATATCTTTCATATTGGAAAGGTCATGGCCATCAGGAAAGGTACCTACACCATACTCATCTTCAAGAGGAAAAAGTAGTAGAATTTGGGGAACTACTGGCCAGACAGCCTAGCCTCAGTCCTCAGGAACATTATGGAGTTCCTTCCTGGAAGTCATAATCACTCATGGAAGCCACATGCAGGCACACAAAGTACACAGACAAATAGGAATAACCAACATGAATTTACTATATTTGTGCATGAATAACTCAACTGCCTTCTATGATAAAGATATGACTGTCTCACTCGACAAAGGATGAGCACTGAATGTTGTTTCTTTTGACTTCAGCAATGCCTTCAGCATGGTTATGTAGGACAACAGTCAGTATATGGACTGGATTGGGTGAACTGCAGATTGGGTGGAAACCTGTCTGGAGAACAGGGCTATGACAATGATGAGCTAGCAGACGAGCTAGCAGCTATCAGAACACTGCTAGCTGTTTTCCTCAGAAGCTTATCCTGGGCCTATCATGGTTCATTATCCTCATTAACAATCTGGACAGTGGGAAGGAACACAAATTCTATCAAATTCACGCATGCTAACAAACTGGAGGATGTGTTTGATATATTAAAGGACAAGTTTTTATTGCAACCTCAATGAACTGAAGAAATAGTCTCAGAAAGTTCAACAAAGCAAATGGGAAATCCTGCATCTGTGATGGCGTAACCTTATACACAGGTTAGGCAGCCAACAAGCTAGGAATTAGGTTTGCAAAAATGATATGGGAGTCCTGGTAGAACATAAATCACAGTGTATCTCTTAAGGTCATAAAAGCTAACCACATATAAGACYGCATTAGTAAGGGCCAAGACAGCAAGTTGAGGGAGTTGATTATCTATGATGTTCCTCAAATGGATTTTGGTCAACCTAGTACAAAAACAGGCATCGATGAACTGCAGAGAGTTCCGTGGAAAGATGATAGTTAACACAGTTAAGGGCCCAGAGCACATTATGCTACACAGGTGGCCTAGGGGAGCTTGATTTGTACAGTTTGAAAAAAAGAAGGCTAAAGCAGGAGCTTCTAATTAAAGCTAGTCAAAGCTAGTCTAATTAGTCAAAGACAATAAAGATGACTGATTAAGGCTATTCTCAGATGTGCACAAGGAAAGGACAGAGGCAATGGACAGAACACAAGGAATATTCTGATTAGATACGGAAAAAATACCCCTCAAAATAAAAGATTACATGCAGGACAAAGCTGCATACTGACATGGTAAAAGTCTCCATCCCTGGAGATTTTAAAGCCCTGAGAAACCTGATCCAGTCTTGAAATTGGCCCTGAAAAAGAAGTTGGATATGAATGTCGCTGCCAATACTAGTTATTGCTTATGTTAATTTTCCACAAACAACTGCTGTGTTGCCATTCGTTAAGAAAAACTCCGTATACCCACAAACCTGAAGAATGACAGCTGCGATAYAAATCTTCTATTAATATGCAGTTTTGCATTACAAGTAAATTTACAGAGCCACTATACAAAAGAAAAAAAAAATCAACTGCCAATAGTTGAACAACACTATGCAACAGATGCTGTTGTGCAAAAGTACYGTTTTAGGTACCTTTTAATTTTTAAGTATGTATGAAGTTACCTGACTGAATTGTAAACAGCCAATGGGGTTTGGTCCTTTTCTTTGGCTACTCTCATCATATCCAGAACAGCCATTCCAAGGCATTCTTCTTGTGTTTCATGAGTAACAGGCATTTGTATCCACCCATTCAAAAAATCATCTCGCCACTGAGGAAGCAAGATATGAAAAAATCAAAATTTTGCATTGCTGTTTAATAGTGGAATTTTTTAAATGGCCAAATTCTTAGAACCATTTAGAACCATTTTGTCCCCAAACAGTTTTACATATTCGTATCAGATATCAGCTATTACTAGACTTAGTAACATTGCTTGCAATATTCTATTGTAAAACTCCAAGAAGGTCAATGGGAAAACAATGTCACACATTGTGTCAGGACAAAGATGACTAACACTTCCACATGTGCCACAAGAAAGGAGACACATACAGTCACTGCTCTCAGAGTCACAACAGTCACTTGAGTTTCTTCTCTTGAAGAGCAAAGACTATTAGCCTTTACCAGTTGGCATGAAGGGAAAAAAAAAAAAATCATACCTGTGCAAATAGGTAAGACATGACAATATCATCAAGAACGGGGCTTTCAGCACCCCGAAGAATGCCATATCGATATGCTCTGCTTGTGCCATTGCAATACCAGTGTGGAAAATAAAACCTGTTAGGAAATATTTAGGAAAATATCAGTAAACTGATATTTTTGCTTACCAACATATCTGCATTGTCCCTTTCATAGATATTTAATTAGTGCCAATTGGTGTAGAGAACTCCATATTGGCGCCCACTAAATTTAAAAAAAAAAAAAAAAGAAAAAGAAAAAAAAGGAAAAAAAAGTTTTGATGTTTTGGACCCAGTTCTTGCTGTCCTGAAGCACAGCATAAGTACAATCAAAGTAAGAAGCTGGACTAGCAAGATCTGCCAGCTCTGCAAAGTAACTCTCATTGAATAGATCTGAGCCAATCTTCTGTCACTGTCTTGCAGTTGCCCTTGAGGTAGGGCTATGTAGACTGGTTCAAACACRGAGAGGGCAAAAATATATCACATGCTGTGATCAGAAATCTCAACAGTAGAAATTCAGATAGGATTCATTGGATATCTAATCTCATGAAAAATTCAGAGGGGACCAAGACTACGCTTCACCTAAATCTGCCATGTATAAGTGCTGGTTAAAGATGACAGCCCCCCTCCCCCTACTCCGGTTCTTACTCAAATACAATGACTCATATCTTCCAATTTTCTTCTACTGCATCTGCCAAAGTTCTCAAAATGATCAAACTATATACATTTAGRCTACTAAATAAATTTGTAAAACTCAACACTGTACATTCACAATGCTTTTCTATGTACAGTATTAGAGAAATCAATAGGGGTATGTCAGGGTAAAGCATCCTTGGAACAGTCTACTCAGAAAAATGATATAATCTTTACAGCTTTCAAGTACTGGAATGCCACTAATACCAGCATATGGCTTGGTCTATTCATTTCATACAAAAAGGTGRACCAGATTACCTCCAGATGTATTTCCAACAAGCATGCAGATATTCTACGAAATCCACTAAAAGAAGTTACTAAAAAAATATATAAACTAAGGGAAATTTCTCAGAATTTCAATTTGCCACTAATTACCAAAAGACTAATAAGGCCACATTATGTAATTCAAAGAGATAAGAGTTCTTATTATAAGGACTCTTATATTCCTTATAACAAATASAGTGAATTTAAAATATTATCTTTAAAATACTACTTTCAAAAGTCAGATCAGACAGAAATGGTTCTGACAGACATCTCCAGACTATATGAGACAATTTTACATTTCAGAACTTGCAGGATTCCAAAAGATAAACACATAGGAGACCAAATGGATTGCTACTACAAAAAACACTCTTTTTCCTTGTATTTTATTTTCACTGCTTGTTTCTCCGATCTGTAATAGCAAATAATAGTCTGTGGGATGAAGACAGCAGATAAAAATACCTGATTCAAGCTTAATTTTATTTTACCTATATCTTTTATCTGTATGTTCCTGACAATCTGCCTGCAATTTTTGCGAAATTATCCCTCCATTAAGTATCTGCTTCTTTTTTTCTTATACAGTTTTTGAATTAGTATGAAAAAAATACTTATATTTGAGTTACATTACCTTATCCTGTAAAGTAGAGTGAATCTGGTTGTTTCATCCACATGGAAGATGTGATTTGGAGGAAACCAAATTCTGTCTGTCTTACTCATGAGTGCAAACATGTTATGATACACCGGCATGATACCTGAACAAAGAACAGAGAAACCAGCCTTTTTTAAGAAACCCTTATTACATAGAATCAGTCTTATTTAAACAAAAAAAATCTTCCAAGTTAGTAGTAGCATTTTGACACCTCTCCAGTTGTTCACCATGATGCTCTGACACTGTCAATACCATTGCAACCAGCATCCTATAAAGTGCAAGTCGTTGCTGTTGATTTACTTTTTCATTCTTGTGTTCTCTTACTGCAKATGGTATTCATTTGTAAACCTATACTTCACAGCTATATTACACATTTTCTCAGAATGGCATTTAACACAATGGGCCCTCTACCCTTCAGTTTAATTAAGAAATAACAACAAAGAACAGTGCATTGCCTTTTTACTTGCATTTTCCAAAAACACATCCAGTCATCTTACATTTTTAGACTTAAGGAACAATAAAAGCAAAGTAATATAAAGAAAATCATCATGAGTAGGGCAACCACCTGCCATCTACATTTTATTAACTCAGTTAAGGACAAAAATATATATGCTATTAATACCACATAACAAAAAAAAAAAAAAAAAAAAAAAAAAAAAAAAAAANAAAGATTTTTCCAAAACAATTCAGAGTTGTTTTAATGCGAAATAACAGCCAGGCCTATCTAATCACAAAATACGGAAATCAACTCTTTGTATTTAGAAGGGCATTTCCTGTCTTCTGTGCCTCCTCATAAAGAATTACAATAGCAAAGAAATGAACATGTGTTCTAACCCTTCAAAGGAAAATAACATTTGTCACTTTGTTTCATTTCCCTCTGTTATTATARTTTTAGTCACTATAGAAGACAAATGGGTCAGGATGATTCAAAATAACTACCTGAACAAGCAATCTTGTTCACAATAAGCCTGAGGCTTCTTTATATAGCTTTGTAACTCACAATTGACTGAGTAGTTTGCAAAAGGAGTACATGGAAAGTATAGAACAATTTCTATCTACTATTAAAAAGAAAAAAACATCATAGCAGTAGGTGAGAATACTAAGAAAAAAAATACAGTTCCTACATAATCAAGGAAAGGTAATGAAGGTTACAGAAAGCATAAACACAGAAAAGGAAAATAAAACTGTTCTAGTATAGGACCGTTSTCCAAAAAATCTGCCAGAGAAACTAAAAAGAAAGAAAAAAAATAAAGAAATAAGGAAACTGATAAAATGGGTAATTTTTACTCATAATTTTAAAAAATAAGCATTTGATGGAACTTACGGAGGATATTTAATATAGCAAGTTCAGAACTCAGCAATTTCAGTATATGCTGTTCAGAACTCAGGCATTAATACAAAAATATTAGAACAAAAAACTTCTGATTTAGATACAAAAGGACAAGCACCAGTGTAGCAAGCAATGTCCAGCATAAGTCTTCACTACAAACTAAGACTTAGCTGCAATTTAAGCATGACACTAAAAAGTATATGAGTCCAGGCACATACYGAACTTGCCTTTTCTATCTAATTATTTAGTTATATCAAATTGTTCTTGCAAATTCTCTGATAGATGATATTTGCAGGGGTATATCTGTAGTCCCATGGTATGACTGAAATTCATGCAATAACTGAATTCACTTTTAAGTAACTGATTCAGCAGTTTTCAAGACAGCTTATACTGCTGTGGTCTTCAACTTCTTGTAAAGGCAACATATAGTGAATTTATCTTTGAAAAATATATGTTACAATGGTGGTGAAATTTAAATAAAGGAAGATTGTATGTTCTAAAGAAAATACAGTCATGAAAAACAATATGGAAGCTACATTTAAACCCAAAGCTTGCAGTAACTGGAAATTTTAAGAGGAACAAGGAACATTAAGAAAGCAACAAACCCTAAAATCATCTAGAACCATCATATATTTATATAAAAATTCATATTACCCTTAGGTTTTTAAATCAATTTAGCATTTTCTCTTTTTCTTAATTCTTTTATTTAAAACCAGACTTTCTAAAGATCAACTCAGGTTCAAGGCAGTAGTTTTACAACTCATACGGCTTATTATGATACTATTCTGACTTTCTTCTTAATTTTCCCTATTATTCCTCTTTATAAAATAAAACTGMACAATATGAAAACTTGATGTTTTCACTGTATCTTCTCATGAAGATAACACAGGGATGGTTTTAAACAAATGACTTCCTTGAAAACCGAAAAGAAGTTAAGAAGCTGTGTTGTAAGGTCCATTTTCCACAGGAAGCGACTTTGAAGACATTAAGCATGTGAAGTCTCAACAACAAAATCAGCTATCTAGCTTCTAACTATCTAGTTGCTCTAGCAACTATCTAGTTCTGTATTTTGAAGGAAGCCAGAGTGTTCCTTTCTGAGAAGCATCAGCTCTTTAGCAGCAGAGATGTTTAATTTGGCTTTGGGTTTCTTGGCTGYAGCCACAGCCTAGCACTGGAGTGTTGTGCATCCATGATACACATATGTTACAGTTTGGAAAATGGGTTAAAYGCTTAAGACTTAACAATGAATAGAGGAACTGCAAGCACCGGCAAACTATATTAAAACCTGGTGAGGGATACAAGTCTTGACATCACATAACTAGACAAATGATAAAATATGGCACTCGGAGTATTATGTCATAATGAAACAGCACAGGCAGGTCATAATGAAACAAGACACTCGGAGGAAGGAAGAACAAAATAATTATTTAAAAATAAAGACAGAAAAAAGTAACTTAAAATTATGATAGAGAAGAAAGAAGTCTAGGGAAAGAGTAAACCTTGTTCAAAACAGTTAGGATAAAATACATACATATAGGTTTTATATTTCATATAATTAAAATTAACATAAAATACATATTATCAATAGATAATTACTTGAAATGACAATTAAAATACATATTTTATAACATATGAATTATAGAAATTCACCCACCAAGAAAAAATCCCTTATGTACCTCCCTGTTCTGAATAATATGTAGATATAGGGAACAGCTAAAGTCAAGCCTAGATTTCATTCATCACAGCTAAATTGCACTCATTTAGAAACAATCAATTTGAAAAAAATTAATCGTGTCTGTGGATAAAACACACTTGTACAAAAACTTGCGGAGCAAAAAATTTAATTTTAAATAAGAGCTAATTTTTAATGCTATTTGTCTCTAGATAAGTAATAGGACTGAAAACAAGAAGCCTATAGTAAGAAGTCTGTTGCTTTTGAATTAATTTGTTTAAATCCACAGGCAAATCATCTGATGCTTATTTAACTACACTTTACCAAAATATGTAAGAACTACAGGACCTAACACATGATCTTCAAAAGAAAAAGAAAGAAAAACAACAAATTACAGGAAATTACAGAAATGAAAAGAATCATGCAAAGTAAACAAAGAGAAATCAAAACTAAAGAAAGTCCCTACAAGAATATCCCCGTACAGATTAGTCACTGAAAGACTGGCTGTAAACATGAGTGTTGCAACTTTGTGGTGCAATAAGAAATACTTGATCCACTACAGATTTGAGAATTATCATTTTATGGACTTAAGAAGAAAGCTATCCTATACAACTAAATGTGGTTCTTTTTTGATGTGTGATATAGTATCAATTATATTTTGCCATGGACTATTTGCCTGTAAAACAATAAGCCATTTAGACCTTTTAAGGGTTTGTGGTGACTATATTTCAAACATTTCCACAATAAGCACGGTATAATCATAGCCAGTTGCAAAACAACAATCCAGGCAATGTTGCCGATATTCACCTAATCTCACTAACATTTCCATAACTTAAAAATTTTCCCACATAATCTTACTGAACAAGGAAAATAATCTTAAATCATATTCTTAAATTAGTGAGACATTGAAACATTAAGCTTATGTACATACACGGTGGACCAAAAAACAAAACAAAACAACAAAACAAAAAGGCACAACAGTCCACATAATTACCATTTTCTTTGGTCAAGAAAAGATCAGGAAATTGGAATTCCCCTAAGTAGAAATGATGATATACTACAATAAAYACTTGCTGGAATGTGAACTGTGCAGTCATCTATCTGTCATACCTTAGCACTTATAATGGCAGCTTTCATTCAATGATGTAAAGCTTCATATAATTAATAACTTTTCAAAAATGTGTGATGCTTTGCCAGAATATAACTACATTTGAAGTAGAGCCACTAAACAAGGTAAATCCTTTCACAGACATTCAAAAATTGCTCATAAATGCTGATGACAGAGAGCAGAAGTTTCTCTTTTTATGTAATTCTTAGCACCTCTACTAGTTGCAAAAATGTGGTAGCTGAAGTGTTTGTGTACTTTCTCTAGAAAATAATGCAAACCAAAAAGAATCAAAAAGAAAAAAAAAAGAAAAAAAAATCAAAGAAGCCTAGACCTGTCAACAACAAAAATAGTTTGAGAAATATATTTCAATGCAAGTAAAAGTCAGAGATGATTTGCACAATAGGAACTAAAAGAATCCTCAGGATTTCTACACAGCATGAAACAAACTATAAAAAATCATATGATGAAAAATTAGCAGAGGGAGGAGACAGTGACATAGACATTATAAACGAGAATTATTCTCCACTTCGTGTCTGCAACAAGAGGTGTTAGAAAAATTTTCTGGACTGTGGCAGAGAGAGAAACATGATGGTGCCTTTGCAAGTATTTTATTTAGCAGAGAAGTCTAGACAGATAAAAGAGCCTCAATTTATTCCCAGAACACCAACTAAYGTCACAAAAACAAAAACATAGGAGTTTTCTCCACAAACCTCTATCTCAAGCCCAGGAAGGAAACAGTGTAATTCCTCCTTCCTTCCTTGTCCCTTAGAGCTACACATACAAGCACAAGTCATAGCCACTCATTTATAACAAGGTCAGATAAACAGGTAGTGAAACACAGTTTAACACAAAACGCACAGTTTAATACACAATCTTTGCTGGAATAAAGTATCTTTTCAACTATATTATGTGTTATGAAAAAAATGCAAAAAAAAAGAAAGTCATGCTTAGGCAGCAGTGCAAATAAACTGTCTTACGAAAATGTCAGTTGAAGTATTTTAATAGAATAGAAATCTTAATCTGTTCTCTCACACTTCTGCAAGGTAGAGTGCCTTAAATTTTGCATGTCTTGTACACAGCAGACGTGAAASTGCTTGGCCTTTCTTGTATTCAAATACTATCTCACCCTCACMTTTCATGTAAATTGAAGGCTTACAAAACTGACGCCACTTTCAGTGCCACCCTGTCAACAATATGTTTCTGAGCGGTTAATCAAAGCATATCTCCTCTATTGACAAAACAGGAGTCACCCACCATGTGGGTACTGACAAACACCCACCGAGGTTCTGACTAATGTATTTCCTATGATGCAGGAAAAGATTGAGTCAAGGATGGCTTTCTGCAATAAGCAGAGAGCGTCGGTAATAACCCTGAGCTAGGCTAAAGCACAGGGCCCTTGCCTGCCTTCTTTSCCTCTACAGTCATGTCCATTTAGGGAATTTAATGTTATGGTTAAACTATGTTAAAATTCTTCGGCTACTAACAAGTAATCTCCCCTGAAACAATAAAAAATTACTGTTGGTCAAGGAGAGTTGTATTACAAGTCATTACAAGCTTACATTACACTACATAGCAGCAGTATGCTGGAAAATATTGAACTGATTGCAGAGACTGACAGCATTTTGTCACAATGTTTTGAAACATTGACTCTCTGAWACTATTAAAAATCTCTACCATCTTTAGGCTTCTCAGGAGGCCACAGAATATTCCATGGAAAGTATCATAGATCTTCTAATTTACTTAAAGATCAAGTGGGTAAGAATTAGGAGGTTCCTGTTATAGTTTGAAGATATTAACATAAAAATCACAAACCCAACAACTTGCAGGTCTCTTGGTTAATGCTTATTATCAGTAACCCAGCAACCCAATTCTGACTGTCACAGTAGTTMTCTCCTGGCTTTATAGCTCTATAAAAAAGTTAAGACATCAATTCAGTCATAAAAGAAGGGAAAAACTAAGCAGAATACAGCACTCTTAAAAAGTAGATCAGTAAAATCAGATCTATCCCACTGGAGCCCAGAGCCCACATTCCTGGAGGAAAAGTCAGAAGAGATAGGCAAGAATCCATGACTACCCTGTTGCTTGACTGATTTTAGTAAAACATTTTTTCAATGTACTACAGAAGCTGGGATTTATAAACTCACTTGCCTAGTGTAATACATCTTAATTTAGTTGACCTTAATTGAGTATTTGCTTAGTCTCAATAATATACGTGTATGYGATGCATTTACTTTCACTCATGTAATTCAGCTAAAAGAATAAATTAATATGTAGTTAGCTTATACATTAAAAAATATATATTTTCCCTTGTAAAATCTTTTAAAAGAAGGTTTAAGATTGATTTGGAAAACAAAAATCAGACACTAAACTTGAAAGACCTGCATTGATTCTGCAGCCTCTAAAACAGGTCCTCACCTGTCATGTTTCATTTTCATTAGTTTCAGTTAGTCCCTCTAATATAATTCTCCTTCAGGCTGAAATCAAAAACTTCTCTTGTTACTAGTGTTATTTTCACAAATTATTACACAGCAATCTGTTACAAAGAACTACCAGTAAAGTCCCTGAGAATGAATATTAATATAAAACTGTTTCAAGACACTTCATTTATTATAGTATTTCGAGTTAGAAAACTTGATTTCCCATTTCATGTACAGTTTCTCATATAAAAATCTGAACATCCTACCGAAAGTTTTGTATACACTATATCTCCTTCACAAATRCAAAAATTGCTTTACATAAAATGAAGAACAGTTTAGCCTCAAACTCATATAACTCATAATTTATACAGGTTGATATTTATATAACTATCACATGTCATTTACAACAGTCTTGATCTAAAGCCAAGAGAGCAAGGAYTGGGAACACTTCCATTGCTTGACACATGTAAAAGGCATGCCACAAGACTGTCTGTAGGACTAATGATATTTAAATCCAACACTACTTCTCACAAACACCATACACAATCATAATTCAATACAATTAATATAGTTAGCAGGGGACCAACAATTTCTTGAATAATAGAGGAAGCTCATGGAAAGCTTGCACATCTGCCTTATTTTAGATATTCCTACTACCCAAACCACTGCCCTCTTTACGAAATACTCTGATTCACAGCAAATTCCTAAAAGGAGAATTTTGCCAACATAAACATTGTTTGAGTGTATTGCCTTTGTAGAGCTACGTGCTCTGCCTTACAAGCTCAAAACTTCCTAGGAAACCAGAAAGTCATAAAAAGGCAGTGCTTTGTGATTTAAGTACTAAGAGGTCTTAAAAAAGGAAACTGACTTTCAGTCATCCGAGCCTTGTCCACCAAATCAGGAGGAAAAGAAGTTACAAATCCTTTGGGGAATATGTTGGTGTATAATGCTGTCGTAATAGCTACCAGACACAAATCATCTTCAAAACTGCTTTGGTTCTACATTGATAAAGGCTTAACATAGCAATATATTTTCACAGGAGGTACAGAATTCAGAACAAAATGACTGCAGATACAAATTACCCTTAGCTAATTAAACATTCAATAAATTTATTATTCCTAATGAATTCAAACTAGATCAGAAGCTTTTCTGGAAGCTGAGCTTTAATTAAGTGAAAAGTAGATTCATTAGAAGGAAAACTAAAAAACATATAGATATAGATATATAATCAGATATTTTGTTATTCGTGATAGTCAGACTCTGCTGGTCCTAAAGAATTCTAAGGAGCAACAGGACTTAACCCAGAAGATATTTTATTTAACTAGCCCATATTCATACAAAATACCAACTCACATTATGCAACTTCTGTTAATACACAATACATAGCACACAAAAATTGCTAGAACCCCTACAAATTTTTAAAGCTTTAAAAATAGCATTAAATTCATTGGCATGAAAATGCTATTGAAAAATTGATCATAATGAAATAGCATATAAAGAAAAAGACAAAAGGGCAAAATGTTTAAATGTAACAAAATATTAATTTCCATCAGAATCATCAGCTTCACATTTGTGACTAACTATAAAAGTAGTAGTTTAAGTTACAAACTCTTCTTTTAACTTCATTTGCACCTGTAAAGTGGCACTGAGAAAGTTAGGAAAAGAAGCCTAACTCTGCACCACTGAAGGCCCAAAATCAGAGACTCTAGCAGAGGTACAATCCCAGACACCAGGACAGGTTGGAGACTGACCTTCTGGAGAGCAGCCCTGCAGAGAGGGACCTGGGTAGACGACAAGTTGACCATGAGGCAGCAGTGTGCCCTGGTGGCCAAGAAGGCCAAYGGGATCCTGGGGTGCATTAAGAAGAGCGTCTCCAGCAGGTCRAGGGAGGTGATCGTCCCCCTATACACAGCCCTGGTGAGGCCACATCTGGAGACCGTGTCCCATTTCGGGCTCCCCAGTACAAGAGKGATGTGGAGYTGCTGGAGAGAGTCCRGCGCRGGGCYACSAGGATGATCMGGGGCCTGGAACATCTGCCCTRTGAGCAAAGGCTGAGGGAGCTGGGYCTGTTCASCCTGGAGAMGAGRAGGCTGAGGGGGGACCTGATCAGTGYCTATAAATACCTCAAGGGAGGCAGTGAGGAGGAGGGGGCGGCCTCTTTTCAGGGGTGGACAGCGATAGAACCAGAGGAAACAGTCACAAATTGAAACACCAAAAGGTTCCTCCACAGGAACTTAAGGAAAAAAATTCTTAACAGTGAGGGTGACAGAGCCCTGGCACAGGCTGCCCAGGGAGGTTGTGGAGTCTCCTTCTCTGGAGATCTTCAAAACTCACTTGGATGCAGCCCTGTGTATGCGCAGGGAGTTTGGACAGATGACCTCTAGAGGTTCCTTCCAACCTTAAGGATTCTATGATCCAGACAGTGCTCCTGAATGCACATCTCCTTAGAATGAAAAGTTAGTCACTTCAATATCCAGAGTTTATTAGGACTAATTTTCTTCCAAAATTCCTGAATGATGAATTCAACATATTTTTGCTATACAAGAAAAATAGGAGTGCAAAATGCATTTTTGATTCTTTTCTTCTGCAACTACAGGTTGCAGCTTCTGGGCAAATATAACAATTCAGCAGCTTTCTTAGATGTAAAAAGGATGTCATCTTTTAATTTCCTACCCTGATGTATTTATTCACTTTATTCCCTGGGTGATTAGGAAAAGAAACAACCACACACACARTCAGTCCTATTAAATTTCATAGAATGGTTTCCATCTACAAAGTTATTCAACCACTAATAATAAATTAAAGAAGTAGATGTTATATAATTGTCAGGACCAGTGTTTTCGCGGTTGCAAAATAGTATAATTTTAATGTTTCTTAACTCCAGCAGTAACTTAATCATCCAAACTACAGATGAGCAAAAAGAAAGCTTCCATATAAAGCATAGTATATCTCTAATTTACTTTAAAAAGTTGTCAGACACCGCAGCCTAAGAATATTTTGACAGGAACAGGTTTGTAGCCTAGAACTGCCATACTGGTTCTGCCACAAGAAGACTGGAGAAATTAGATTTTCAATCAAAATGTTACTGTTTTTATTGCAAAGTCTGTTGTGATAAACTCACTAGGAAAACTGCTATGTATACACTTACCGCAGGCTTTACAAGCAATGGCACAAATTTCTTCTGCAACATATTCTCCTGCTGGAAATTGCAGATAATCTTCTCCTGCCTTCCCAGGGGAATGATAAAGGTACACTTGAAGCAATGGTTCAGTCTGCTTGGGTGCACTGGCATTCCCAAGGATGTCACCGTTCTGGTGGACAGGAGTTGCCGTGCCTTCCATGTTTGTCATTGTAAGACAGGCCATTGTTGGTTTAGGATCTGCTCAGAGCATTTGCCTAAAAGAAATACAAGGTGTACTCCTTGACTAGCTGTATTTAGTTTTGTTTGTAATACTCTTATCTAACAACAGCACCCTTCTGATGCATTAAAAACATGGAACACTAGCTTAGAGAATAATTCAGAAAGGTTAGTGAAAGGGAGTTTCATTTTGACTTACTAAACAGTTCTAAGTCTGAAAAGTATAAAAAGCGTAAAAAAAMCAGCATTTTTACTTATTTACTTTTATTTATCACTGAATTATATGCAATGTGGGCCCACCTGACTAGCTGAAACCCACRCCAGTTAAACCAAATGGCCAAAATACTGATACCAGTGCAACTCATTATAACATTAGCTTAAGATAAAGATTGTCCCGAGAATGTACAAACAAAAAAACTGTGCCACAAATTGGCATTGAGTGGCCCATTCCAAATGAACAAAACAGATGTGAAAGCAATATGTTTGTTTCTGTCGATCCTTCCCAGATTTTCTATCTCTACAAATACACTTGCCCATTCAAAAGAAAAAGCATTGTTTCTTTGTGAACAGGGRAATAGAGAACAAACAGACAATGGAAATTGCTTAATCTTTTCTTAAAATAAGAAATAAATTATTTACAAAATACAGTAAAAAATGTAAATATCACATCATACTCTATTTTCTTCTATTCTCTTTGTTGTTGTAATTTTAAGGGTTCCCTGAGATAACAGCAAAGGAACAGTCTCCAGAGATAAAATCCSTATATTCATGTTATTACTTCAATTCAACCATTTTCAAGTTGCAATGCTGGTTTTTTATGTCAAAGTGCAGATGAAACTGACAGGTGAAAGCAAGTAATAAATCTCCCTGAATCAATTTCTTTGTAGAAGGAGGGAGAAAAAAAAAAAAAAAAACACCACCAACCCACCACACATGAAACAGCTCTGCTAATAAAACACATTGGTACTATTCACAGGAAAATGGTGTGAAAGAAATAAATTATACGAAATACATTGTTTTGAATTGTGTTTCTTAGGAGACAAGGAACCAACTAGGCACTCTTATTTTTCCTCTCTCTGCTCCATGAAGATGTTGCTTTTTTTTTTTTCCCCCCCTCAATGGTCAGAATCCTAGGTTTCTTTTAAGTATTTCTGAACTTGGAGACATTAACCAGACTATTAACAGAACATAATTTGAGTATCAGTTTATACAGTATGCATAACAGACTGAATATCATATTGTAATATACCAACATAAATTSTTTTTTAAAGGATTTCTACAGCTGGCATAATAGATTGAATATACCTAGAACAGAACTTTCCTGGGTAAGTTCTTGGCAGTACCACAGAGKTATTGATTTTCAAACAGCAACAACATACCACGCCCACACAAACCCAAGTAGACATCTGAAATAGAATCAAAATCTAGTAAAAGCTAAAAGTGGCTTGCAGATTCTTACACACAATAAGAATCTATAACATAACTTTTGGAATACATATAAATATTTATTTAGAGATTGAAACTGCTAAAATACAAGGTCTGATTCTGGGACAGAGGAACAGTGACCTGATCCAACAGAATAATTTGTATATTGCTCACATTGCTCTACTGTAACTGTCACCAGAATCCACAATTTCACACGGTTACCTGCAGTTCTCTAATTTTTCTCTGTAACTTCAATGTGGCTAACTGAGGGCCTATTTTATGTTCCACACTGAATTGTATTGATTCATACGTCTCTTTTTACTCCTACCAGGAAGAAAGTAGTCACCTAGCCTGAAAACCACTACTAAAGCAGTAAATCTCATTAAAATSTAGAAGAAACATGAAACCTCTCAAAATTTAATAAAATACAGCATTCACAATTCATCCAGAATTGCTTTTTTTCTTTTTTTTTTTTTYCCCTCTCTCTTCTCCCCTCTTACAGACAATTTGGATAATGGATTCCACCAGTCTCGTTAAACCAAGATTCTTCCCTTAAAAAATCCGCCTCAAACAAAGTTTTTTTTTTYCCATTCAGTTTGTCCCTTTTTATTTGGGCAGTTCTAGGAAAACCTCCAATGCTAAGATCAGAAGCTATACCACTTCAGTAATACATCTTTGGAGGTCCAAAAACCAGAACATTCTCTCACTGCAAATAAGTTCCTTGGTTGTTGATTACCTTTAATCCTCTGAGAAAGTTCTGCATGAAACAGGAGGGGCCCAAGAGCTGAAGTCTTTTAAGCAAGCACATCACAAGTCACCCACTTGCTGCTGGTATCCACAGGAGGCCAGATAAAACAGGCATGCAGGTGAAACATTACGTATCTGCAATAAAAATGCACTAACATCAAAAAACAGAAAAAGCCGATGGCTGTGAATAATATATACTGGTTCATTATATTTAACACTATGCTACTATATAAAATATTCATTAAAATGCATGTTTAGCTTCAGATGAAACAACCTGCTCGTATTCCTTTTGCCTAAGTTCTACTGTCTTCTTTGCCAGACCCTTCAGACCCTTCAATTGTTGCCTAGCCAGATGACTAAGATCTTACCCCAAGTCCACTAAAATCCATATGAGTTTTCCAGATCTGTATTAAAATATAAAGGAAAACTGCTTGGGGTAGAGCAGTCCATCACTGCTCAACCCAAGCACACCAGTCCAAGTGAAGCACAAATCCACTGCATATTCATGCAGGTTCCAGGATAAGGGTAATGTAGGGTATTCTAAATTATTTCTAGGTAAATGTGGCAACCCATTTCCCACTGAATCTTTTCTGTGTCTGGATCTCATTCACAACAGCCTTGCATTCACAATTTCCTCTCAGAATTCTGACTTTGAGCAGAAACATGTTAAGATTCACACAGTGGCAGCAAACTGTGTACCTTTTCCACAAACATCAGATGAATTGCACAACACCATCATTAGCTACACGAGACAGCTGCCAATAAACAGAAGGAACAAACCARTTTGAACTAAGAACTCAACTCCCTTCCACTCTCTGAGTAGCAATGCCCAGTGGAATGAGGCAACATTTTGAATGTTGCAACACTCTGAATGATGATAAACTCATTGGCATTGCAGCTTGCATTTCAAATGCAACYGTTGCATAAAGCAACCTAATATTCTGCCTATCATACTTCATATGCCAAATAGGAAAATTACCATTTGCTTATGAGAACAGGTCACAGGACAGGAAAAAAACACAAAGAAACTGAGAGGGGGAAAAACTGAATTGTTCTGGTTATTATAACATCTTAAAATGAAAACTGAAGCATCTTTTCTGCATAAATCTATGAACTTTGTTATTAAAAATAGGTTCAGCAACAAAACCGTATAAAAATACCCAGTTGGCACACTTCCAGGTTAACCAAATTTTACCTGCAAATTTTACCACAACTTGCTCTATTAGCAGCAGACTTCTTCAGAATCCCACCTATATTCCTGCTCATAGAAATCTGGCAGGACAGCACTTCTCTAGCAACCTTGCTTCTCCATATACTTTTCTTCTGTTTGCTCAGATCTAAGTCAGCTTATACTTCTGGCAAATACAAGGATTTAAATGCTCAAGTCCAAAACAAATTTAAGAATCTAATTAAACCTAATTATAATGAATTTCTACATCATCTATCCCATTACCATAATTCGTAAAGAACACAAAATGAAATTTGTTATGATGGGAAAAGGATATTCTACAATCTCAAACAGTCTCTTCTCAGTARGCTTCTATATTTCCTGTGAATAAAAGTAATAGTTCTACTGAGGCTATGTCACTTATTTTCAGTTTATAAATAAATTATGAGGAAGATGAAGTAAGCTCTTTCTATTCGCAAGTAAGTAAATACATGGACCTTCTCCCTGTCATCGTCAAGTCCTCTATATTTATCTTGTATAAATATGAAAATTACAAATACAAACACAATTTCCATCTGTTTATACACAYATCCCTCCTTCAAAGAGGAAAAGAATTTTCTCACTAAAGCCTCCACATGTTATGATAGGTATGTACATACGTGAGCTAATAGAAATATCTCACGAAAACTTGTTAACACAGTTCACATTAGTAAGTGCTAAAGGGTGAATACTGGTAGGTTCTAAATAACATTATGGATCTTTTCACAAACCCACAGAACCATTTTTTATTTTAACCTTCAGAAAGATTAGCATATGTCAGTCAACAATTTTCCACTTTTGATTGCATTGTTTAGTTTGTTGTTTTATACTTTATATCCAGAATATCTCCAGGGTAAGTTTTGCATATGCAGACTACAAAAGAACAATTAAGCTTTGTTATGATACATATCCAGYACGTCCCATTATGTTATAAAAACTTTAAACACTTAAAAACAAACAAAAAAAAAGCACTCCCTTTGTACAGAGAATTCCTCACATAAATGCCTTATGTATGTAGCTTGATTCTTTTCGGAGGCACAGAAATATAAATACAAGAAGCCAAATGCCTATMTTTACTACTTTACAAAAGTTATTTCTTAAAAGGAACAGTGTGAAGTGTCACTGCTCTCTTAAAAACAACAACAAAAACAACAACACACACAAAAACCAAACCCGCAGAGATTCCTAAAAGTATTTGTTCAATACTTAACATACTATTTATCATCAGTTCACATTCCATGTACACAAAAAAAAAAAAATCCACAGCAAAAAAAGTACATCTTTACACCATAAATTCACCAGAAAAACATTTCTCTTGCAAATTCTATCAAACTCATACTGCACTACAATACCTTTAAAAGTGCTCAAGCAATCTAGAAAGCTCAAGAACCATTTCCGTTGCTTTGATARTAAATACTACATTTATAATTACAGTTAATCTATTCTCAAATAACGTCTTCTGCACCAAGAAAACTCTCTTCTTTCTCAGGCAACATTTATTCTGACTTTAAAAACAAAAATATAAAGTAGTGCTATAAAACATATTTAAAGGCATTTTCATAAAATGTAGAAAGTTATGGTTTTCTAATACATTTTGCTTTTCGAGGGAGTTAAAACTTAACTTGCCCTGCTTTAAAGTCAAGTCATGGACACAGAAGAAATGACTACTCACATTAAAAATAAGTACTGAAATTTATATGAGACTAAATGAACTTAGTCATTTAGTTTAGTGATTTAGACAGCTGTACAATAGAATATTTAATATATCAAGAAGTGAACGTGCACATGCATTCTGTAGATGCAGAAAGAAGATAAATCTCTAAGCATATCAGTGACAAAACATGTGATTAAAAAAATGGGACAAGAGAAGATAACATTTGCTTACAGTTTTTRCTTGGCAAACCAGTGTCTATATCAGCAATTCAGCAAATGTCCATGAACTTTTGCACAAGGAAAGAGTCATGATTCCAGCCAGGTCCAGTTATATGAACTGACTGTAAAGAAGCGGTCACTACAATTAGAAATCGCACACTTATTTCCAAGTTCTTCATAAGAGAACGAAGGTCTTATTGCAGCTTATCCAAGGAAGAAAGCAACCTATAGGGGCTGTCTGAAAGCAGAATTAATGACAAACCCTAAAAGCCCAGTCTTCATAGAAGGCTGCCAAGTTGGTGAATTGCCAGAAAAGCAATCAAATCAGAAACCTGCCTCCAGGAACAGCTCTGCTAGGTTCCACCAGAATTTTGGCAAAAGTTGGTCTGTATCTGCAAAACATTTCAGTTTCACCATGCTGATAAATTTCAACAAGACAGGATTTCATCAGAAAATTTCCAAGCAATTTCCCAATTGTTTTGGCTGAGTTTGTCTCCCCAGACAGTGCGGTCTGAGTGCATGCAGAGCCATCATTAGCTACACAGCTTTATATGCACAGAGGACATGGGAGCAGTAGCTACAACAGGTCAGAGACCTTTTGCAGGAAGTATGTGAAAAATATCTTCAATTTCCCATGATTCTCTAACACAAATCTCTCATTAGCAAATTTAAGGCCAAAATGAGCAAGTCACTGTGTATATACACGCTTGCAACTGAAGTAGAAGAAAAAGACCTCTAGAATATTGTCAGCGTTTCTTTTTTGTTTGCTTGTTTTTTTAGCTGGCAACTAGGAAAGCTAAGTGACATTTTCACAAGTTTATCATACTACCTGTTCCGTTGCATGAACTATATCAAAAGTCAAATTCTGCTTAGGAGTTCAGATCATGAAATAAGGGTTAAATAGAACACAGGTCTCAACTTGATACTTTGCTTTCTTTCAAAAACATATAAAAAAAGAAATTGCTGATTTTTTGTGTACACTGAGCAAATTATTTATCTGTAAGATTAAATCCAACCAACCATCCAAGTCAAGGTTAAAATACTCTGCCGGCTATTAACCAATTCTAGTAGCTGCTAGTTATAACATAGCAGGAACTTCTGTCCTGCACTGAACAAAGTAAAAGTTTCTATGTGATAAAAGCTTCCAATGAGTTACCAAGAAATTAGGAAGCAATAAAAAATAGTAAAAAAAAAAAWWAAAAATAAAAATAAATCACATTTTGAAGTGGAAACAATATTCTGATTCATCTCTAGAACAGAAAAAAAATCTATGGAAAGTCATTTCTGTTGAAAACATGGTTCAGTGAAAACCCCTTTAACCTTCTCCAAAGGACACATATGACAGTTATAGCTACATTCAGAGGTTAAAATAAATAYTGAAAGTGCAAAGCAAAGCAAAAATGTAATTGCAGCAGCAAGTACTTTCTCAGGTTGCTTGGATATTTTATGCACTGCAAGATTCCTGCTTCAAGTCACACCACATGGAGTGGGAAGCGATGCAACTAGAATATATTTCTGAAGAAAGTAAGATGTCCTTTTCTAAAATACAGTTCTCACTCTTGTAACTGAAGAGGAACTTGTCAAAACAAGAACTAAGAGTAGTTACTACAGCGCTGAGTTGACAAAGAATAGCATCAATAGCTAAAAAGTAAATGCTGTTTTAGCAAATGCTATCAAGAAGCTCTCAGGCTCACTAGGCTCTCAGAAGTCATATATGGTTCATGTCATGATTTGAAAAAGCTGAGTGGTGGGGGCAGATGACATTAAAGACATCGCAATGGAAAAGAAGACTTCAAAATTGCTATTCTTCTCCCAGCCTCTGACGACTGRTCACTGCTCCATGGCAGATGGTCAGTTGTCAGCTAAATGTGTCTCTTACCAATTTAAAAGGAAACAGAACCACCAAGATCCACCACTTGCAGCAGTTTGTCACTTCTGAAGAGCATCGGCCTTCCAGCAATGTTCTGTTTCTCTCCAGTTACTGAAGTGCTCTGGAGATTTACAACTACAAAAAGGGTATCTTCTGTGAACAACAATACAACAGTTCAACC